CGTCTGGTAGTACGCTCAACATAACTGTCACCATAGGCTGGGTGCAGCTGAGACAATAAGTTCACACAGATGTGGCACTATTCCATGCTTTGTGATTGTCAATCTTTCGTCGGCTAGAGAATGACAAACTTAGGTTTGTTGCTTCATACATACTCTTGGAAAGTCTCTGGAATAAACTCTCAGTTGACAGATACACGTCAACATTAAATTGTAACTTAATAAATACAGAGAGGTTTTTCGCCTGCAGTCATAGTCACAGTCACCACGTTTTCTCTGCGACCTTTTCATATGTTTTTTTATGAAACTAATCGGATGATAGCGTGTTTCCATCATGGAATTATGAACTATTTATAAACTTACTTAGGTAGGTTGGTTGGTGTAACGCACCAAATTAGATGCAATAGACAGATGAAATTGTTCTGTCTGTTAACTTTGTGTTAATTGGTTACCTATTGTGTGTGTGTGTGTGTGAATATCTCTTTTTCTTCCATCAAAGGTACTCTTTCTACTACTGGTCATTCAACTAACTTTGTATTCTCCATTGAAGTTCCAACTGATCAACAGCAAAAACACTGGATTCAACGTGGGGTAGCCTTGTTATGCGCGTTGAATTATTAAAATCCCGAGGCTACGAATTAATCAGAAAACAAAAGAAGTTTTCCTGATAGTCAGTCGTATCTCTTCATAGTATATATATATATTTATATATTTATACCCACACATAAAATTACCAGTAAAATACCCTTCCCTATAAAAATTCATCATCCCACCACCAACACATCACATATGTAACGAAAGAAGAACAGAGAGAGAGAGAGATAGAGATGAAACTGTGATTGTTTTATTTTGGTATACACCAATTACAGACCTATGAAGACCTCTATGTAGAATACACATCGGTTAGGGTTGCATTAAGACACATACCTACCTCACACACAAACACAAAGGCACAAAAGCTTATTTTACCATCAACTCAACGCATTAATACTAATCAGATACATTTAATTAATTAATTAATTGCCTATTTTACACAAAATAACGTCTAATAAATGCGTTATTGTACACCAAATATTGTACACCACAGTGTTGATACAATGCAAAAAAGAGAATGGCTCAATCATCCCGGAACAAAACAAATAAATAGATCTTTTTATTGACCCATCAAGCCGTCAACTAAGCAATATGTCTAGGAAAGACAAACAATTATCTTCCTCTTTTACAGATGTAAGTGATATGCTATTCTGAACTTCAGTAGAATCCGACGAATATGCACTGAAGACACGCTTGATGAAGAAGAAAGTTGACACAAACTCTGGTTGATAACAACTATCCAGACAAGGTCATCAGGAGATATAAAGTAGTCAGAACACCAAGACTCACTCTCCAACTCGCCCCTAAGAAAGACGTGTACATCAAGCTACCCTATATGGGGCATCAAAGCAGCTTGATAACTAGACAAAGGCTGAACGCTGATGTTAAAAAGACTTTTTATGCAGCTAATATCATAATAATAGAGAAGGTAAAGCCATTATATCTATCTAAGCCCTTCGAACATACGAAAAATGACGTCATATCCGACTGTATTTACAGATTTGAATGTACACGTGGACACACACACATAGGGAGGACTCATCGATCTCTGCAAGTAAGGCTTTCAGAGCATATTTCAAAATGGCTCCAGAAACAAATGGAATCATCAGAACCTATTAACGGTGAGAACAGGAGACCTAGCTCTTCTATTGCGAAACATATTATAGAGACAGGACATAAAATTGATGTTAACAGATCTTTTAAACCTGTCTATAAAACGTGTTTGGGGCGTATCCTAAAATTTGTAGAAGTCCTAGCAATTAGAAAGTTCAAGCCACCTTTATGCGTTCAAAAACAATTTGTCATCACATTAAACCTTCCTTGGTAAATTTTGTTTTGATACACCAGCCAGGCCAGATGTACAATTACCTCTGCTATTTGGTTTAGTGGTCTTCATTTTTATTTTTTGACCTTGAATATGTCCTTTTAACTTGACCTAAGTAGTTTATTTTCTCACCTCTTACCTCTTTATTAACTTCATATATATTCTTATGACAAGTCCGTGTGTGATGGATCAGATTGTTCGAAATGTGTTGTGGGCGCAAATACATTACACGATTCAGACAAATTACGTCTTCTTATTGCTTTATCTAAATTCATAAAGGGAACTAATTGTTTTAAATTTTTAAACAGAAGGCTCCCTCCACACACTATCAAAAGGTTAAATGAACTTGTTAACCTTAGGTGTAAAATTATCGTCGAACGTAACACGGAATTTTATGAATTATGTATTAAAAATCATTCTTTCCCGAGGCAATTTTATAAAACTTTGAAATTCAGCAAATTACAACCAAATATCTCTAGTCTTGTTCGTCTCACAAAGTCACATATCGAAAATGTCAAACAAACGTTACAAGGACTACTTGTTCTTCATGCCGATGCGTCGCTTATTTCATCTGAATTATCAATAATACGCCACATGAAATTCCTTCAGTTTTGTAAAGATGTTACTCAGAAAACAAAGACGAATATACATAATAAATTGAAGAGTTAAATCGACGATCGAAACCGCGTTGATGTCTTTCCGGTGAATCCTGATAAGTACGTTACAAATCTTTCTGATATTACTCTATCTACTCATCAGAAAGAAGCTTTATCCCTTGGACTCAAATTTTGTATTCCTCGCATACAATTTACGGATTTAGCCATCCATCCTGAGTTTGAAAACTTATATGACCAACTCAAACCTCTTGCCGCAACATCCGAAGAAGATCGGGGTTGGTTTAAGGCCAGTTTTTAAACAACAACCCAAAGGAGAAAAGTATTTTAAATACCCAACATTTCAAAGCCTTGAAAGAGCTACGGGAAAATTCTAATATAATTATTACTAAACCTGATAAAGGTTCTGGAGTCGTCATTATGAATAAAAGTGAATACAAATCTAAAATGATGTCTATTCTTGATGATAAGAGCAAATTTAGCCGTGATCCCTTCTCAGAAGATATTCAGTTGTTGCAGGGCACAGTGACAGCTAATCTACTGAAGCTTCATGGCCTAAATGCTATAAGTAAAGATAAACTTGACTCATTAAAACCATCAGATTTTAAATTCCCACATATGTATGGGTCGCCAAAAATACATAAACCCAATATTCCTCTACGTCCTATATTGTCAATGTGCAAATCCCCAACGCATAAACTTAGTAAATGGTTAGTAAAATTATTGAATCCAATCAAAACACAATTCTGTAAGTATGTGTTAAAAGATACATTTGAATTGGTTGATGATCTTGACGATGGTAATATTAATATTATGAACAAGAATATGTACTCTTTTGATGTAAACTCGTTATTTACTAATGTGCCTTTGATTAAAACAGTTGACATTTTGTGTGATTATATTTCCACAAACAATTTTTTCATCCCGTTCCCTATATCTTACTTAAGGGATTTATTACTTCTATGTACTAACAGTGTTAGGTTTACATTTGAAGGCGATTGTTTCCTCCAAGTTGATAGTGTTGCTATGGACAGTCCGTTAGGGCCCCTTTTAACAGATATTTATATGTCGTACATTGAGAATTCATCGGAGGATTTAATCGAAAATGTGCCACTTTATAGAAGGTATGTAGACGATATTGTAATCATCGGTGAGTGATAAGTCTTGTTCTGCCACCACAATTTTAAATCGAATGAATGAAGCTCAGAATAGCATATCACTTACATCTGTCCGTAGAAGAGGAAGATAATTGTTTATCTTTTCTAGACATATTGCTTAGTTTTGATGTGGTTTTGTTCTCTGAGCTGGATAGTTAGTTTGCGAAGCTTTCATCACCTTACTGGGTGACATCTTCAGCGCATACTTCAAATTGAAGTGAGCTTTTAGGTTTCTCCACGAGTTTATTAATCATTCCTCCTGGTGACCTTGAACGTGATTGGTTGTTTATGTATGTTTTCTCACCTTCTAGGTTACTTGTGTTGGAACTGATTGTTTCTGTGACTTGAACTTTGGCCAGTCGTGTGTGAAGTTTCTTTCTTATTGGTTGATAAATTTTGTCTATCTCGATGTGTCTATTGATTGATGATTCACTGGAATGCCAAGCTTCTAAAAATTCTCTAGCATTCTTGTTATTTCCTTTGTCTAATATTTGAACGTTGTCCCAGTCGAATTGATGTCCGTGGTTGTCTGTGTGTAGTGAAATGAGGGAGTGTATATCATGTCTTTTGACGGCTTCGCAAACTAACTATCCAGCTCAGAGAACAAAACCACATCAAAATTATCCACCTGAGCTACAAATCTTCTCTATCATATCTAAATCTTACGAGCGGGATACGCTTCTCTCTGTTCGAAAGTGGGAAGACTTCGCCAAAAGGCAAGGATCCACCAGAGAACAATTATTCTTTCTCCATGAGTGCCTTCGTCATTCAATCCTACCAAACAGTGTAAGATACAAGCCACCAGTCAACTGCCCAATGGGATGGAAATTGGCCGAACAATGTGGAAGACGAATGGTCAAATTAATGATTACGGACGCACATTATCGGATCAACAAATATCAACAAATAATAGATGTCCAAAAAGCAAAATTAGAGAAAACCCTCAACCAAGAACACCTGTCAACGCTGATCACCGCAATTTCACTGTCAAGTGGAAAACACAGAGAACAAAGACGAAGAGTCCTCAAAACCAAGCTAGCCAAGATTAGAAAACAACAACCAGACAATACGCCCATAGACTGCGTAGTCAACCTATCAAAACAACCACTATCAAAAATGGAACAACAACTACTACAAAAAGGATTAAACTACAACACCGGAGATGCTTCAAAAACTGATTTCTTCGCTGCCCTTGAATCATTACTCAAATCATCAAACTTGAACGAGGAAACACAGGAAGAGATACGCCAAACAATTGTACCAATGGTCAAACAGAAAAGACAACACACACAACTCTCAAGAACTAAAGGCCCTCAAAAAGCTGAAAAATAGGAAGGACATCGTCATTTTACCAGCCGACAAAGGAAGAACAACAGTAGTCATGGACAGAGAAGAATATACCAAGAAAGCTGAAGAACTACTCAAAGATGAAGATGTATATCAACAACTCCCAACAAATCCCATACAAACATTGGATAACCGCATCCAAAGGACCTTAAACAAGCTCACCAAAACTGGACAGATCACAAAACAAGACCAATGGCGAATGAAATCCAATGGACCAGTCCTACCTCGATTCTACGGCAGACCCAAAATACACAAGGCAAATATCCCGTTACGACCAATTGTATCACTCCCAGGAACTCCAACATATAATTTGTCCAAGGAATTATACAGAAAACTAAAACACCTAACGGAATCCTGTGATCACTCCATCAACTCTGCTATCCAATTCCTAGAGAAAATCAGAGACATCCAAATAGATGAACAAGAAATAATGGTATCCTTCGACGTGACAGCATTATATACCTCTATCGGACAAAAACTAGCAAAAGAAACCATGGAGCAATTACTTAGCAACGACGAACAACTTCCACAACAATCAAAAATGCAACACACAAGCTGGATGGAATGCATAAATCTATGCCTAACAACATACTTCCAATTCAACGGCCAAATATATGAACAAGTCAAAGGAACACCCATGGGATCGCCAATATCAGGTTTGATTGCAGAAGCAGTGATGCAAAGACTCGAAAACATAATTCTACCAAAGATCAAACCCAAGATTTGGATACGCTACGTCGACGACACATTTGTAATAATCAAAAGAAACGAATTAGACAAAACTCACAACTTAATAAACAACGTCTTCAACGACATCAAATTCACAAGAGAAGAGGAATCCGAGAACAAAATACCATTTTTGGACGTCTTAGTCAGGCGAACAACTACAGGAGAATTAGAAACTCAAGTTTATAGGAAATCAACTCACACAGACCAAATACTGAATTACAACAGCAACAACCCAATAGCACACAAAAGGAACTGCATACAAACACTATTCAAGAGAGCAAGGACTCACTGCAGCACTCCCACCTTAAGAAAAATTGAAGAAAAGTATCTCATGGACGTCTTCCAAAAGAATGGATATCCCCGGAATTTCATCAAGAGACATATACCCCCAAGCCAACCTACCAAAACAAAAGCCACCAAGGAAAACACAAAGAAAATCGCCTTACCATATATAAAGGATATCTCAGAAATCACTAAAAGACTCTTCAAACCTTTAGGAATTGACGTCGTACACAAACCAACAAAGTCGCTGCACTCAATTCTATGTCAACCAAAAGACTCAACAGCAAAAGAAGACAAAACCAACATCATCTACAAAATAAACTGTAACAACTGTGAAAAACACTACATTGGCCAAAGTGGACGTCCCCTTCGTCTTCGTATCCACGAACATAAGCTAGCCGTCAAAAGACATGATATACACTCCCTCATTTCACTACACACAGACAACCACGGACATCAATTCGACTGGGACAACGTTCAAATATTAGACAAAGGAAATAACAAGAATGCTAGAGAATTTTTAGAAGCTTGGCATTCCAGTGAATCATCAATCAATAGACACATCGAGATAGACAAAATTTATCAACCAATAAGAAAGAAACTTCACACACGATTGGCCAAAGTTCAAGTCACAGAAACAATCAGTTCCAACACAAGTAACCTAGAAGGTGTGAAAACATACATAAACAACCAATCACGTCCAAGGTCACCAGGAGGAATGATTAATAAACTCGTGGAGAAACCTAAAAGCTCACTTCAATTTGAAGTATGCGCTGAAGATGTCACCCAGTAAGGTGATGAAAGCTTCGCAAACTAACTATCCAGCTCAGAGAACAAAACCACATCAAAATTATCCACCTGAGCTACAAATCTTCTCTATCATATATTGCTTAGTCGACTGACGGCTTGATGGGTCAATAAAAAGATCTATTTATAGAAAACCTACCTGGACAGGACAGTATCTTAATTACTGAATAAATAAGTACACATAATGACAACAATAATAATAATAATTGTAAGAAGAGTCAATTTCAAGCACAATTTGTATGTAATAATACACGAAGTACACGAATAAATACAATACCATTAATTAATTAATAAATAAATAAGTATATGTAACAAAAACAACAAAACAAACAAGCAATGATGATGATAATAATAATAAATATAAATATATATAAAAATCTGAGTTTTCAACTATGGTGTCTTGTCTGTTATATGCTCCTCACCTGCCCCCCCTACACACACACACATACACATACACACATATTCGCAAAACACGCGGTAGACGACTAATCTTTGAACTGGAACGGATTACCACACTTCGTATTGAATGATACCAGTGAGTCTTGTTTTTTGTTTTTGTTAGATAGAGTCCACTTCACACACACACACCAAACTCACACAGATATATGCACACTCACTCACTCAGTTTAATGCTGAAATTTACAACTGAAACCAGATAGACATATGTGTCCCTTTCTAAGGTTTACTTATAAAAAAACAAGGTGGACACAGAGATCGTTAAAGAAGAACAATAATGTCAAACACTATTCAATTCGATAATTGGTAATAATGCACTACTGACACACTTATTAACCTGTTGATCTTAATTGTATTTCTTTTAAACTATATGCAAGCTGAAGACGTTGTTCCATTGGCCACTGAGGATACCAGTTGCGAAATGAGCGCAGTTGACATTCGAATACAGTAGATGGTGCATAATTGATTTGTAGATTAGAATTCATCAAGTCTGCTAAAAATATATCCATCATTTGATCGCTGACATTATCATTATAATCGTTTGAATCAGTTATTGGTTGTTGTTCAGTTGATAAGTGGGGATCGATTCCTTCCAGGGAACTCAATGTGGACAGGAATAATTGACGTTCTAGATTATCCCAAAGGGAAAACCAATGAATAACCATCCGAACAGCTCGAAATGGTGGTATTCGTAGATCCATAGAACAAATGATATTCCAAGTAATTTTCAAACACTATAATATTTATTGAGTTCTTGGTAGTTACTTAGCTAGTTAGTTAGGTAGAAAAATCAGGGAAAATTGAAAACTAGTTAGTTATAGGCAATATAATAACACCAAATATTTTTTGTTGGTATCCATCTTAATAACAATAAAAAGATACTGCTCACTACCAGAGCGCTTAATGACCCAGACGGGGAGAATTAAAAGGACAATAAGGAAAAAGACAGCGGGAATAGCAGTGTAAGTTGTCGATACTTTAATTAAGTTTTAATTAATCTTCCTTTGCTCCACTAGTTCCCTATACTACTAGTAAATTACGCAGATAGTTATAATGCATAGTTATGCCCACCTGACTGAATTATCGTTCATTTAAAACAAGCTTGGTACTTTATGGGCACCAAGAGATGCACTGGGGGATACTGTCCGGAGGCCCAGACCGAAGCAGGCGGTTATCTTAAGAGGCCAGACGCCTACCGCCTTTTAACTTAAAGTTTGGTCTACAAGGCAGTGAGTGGGGCAGCTACCTTCCCACGATTACCAGTAACCAAAACAAGCTGATACGCCATCAGACACACTCGGATTGTGGAGATCATGTGCACCATAGGTTTGCAATCACGGTATTTCAGCTCCCCTGAAAATGTTCTTCAATTCAGTTATAAGCACCAGACGTTTACATTCACTTTTGCGAAGAATACTTGTGCCGCATGAAGGCAGTGGTAGTATGGCTGAGACAGTGAACGAATAGCTACATAAAGGCATTTCGTGAGGAAGACCAACCCACCCTCTGTCGTACCGTACCAGGTTGTTCATGAGAGGTTGAACGGCTGCTGAATGAATCGAAACAGGTAGTTGAAGTCTTGGTCGACTGGCTGGCTCCATGCAGCATCGTCACAAAAAAGTGATGGAGTTTGAAAATGTACCGAAAGATATGAGTCTGCTCAGCTTAATTCAATACCTACATTCAATACACTAGAGAAAAAATGTAAGAATAAATGCTGAATTGAATTCTTGATTTTCCCGTCGATTGATTGGACAGAAGTGCTCGGTCTCAGGTTGACATGTCGGCTTCTTGTGCAGATGCTTCGATGATGTCCGGGCATTCAGTTAGTATACAATTGGTGGATAGTGGCTAGCAGTGGAATCCAGGATGCGCATTTCGTCCTATTTGGGGCTCGTCAGCTGGATGTACCTGCATTTCTCAGTGAGTGATGATGTTCCCACCGAGGCTCGAACCCAGGTGGCTCTCGTGGCCCAAGTGGTCTAGTGGATAACGCTTTGGCGTTTGAAACTATGCGTACTGGGTTCGAGCCTCGGTGGGAACATCATCACTCACTGAGAAATGCAGGTACATCCAGCTAACGAGTCCCAAATAGGACGAAATGCGCATCCTGGATTCCGCTGCTAGCCACCATCCACCAATTGTATAAGAATAAATGCGTTTACATCTCTCTGTCTGTCTATCTATCTCTAACAAAGTCTCCCAACTGCTTGCTGATTTTTCTTACTTTCAAGAAACAAACGTGCACACAATTCTGACTACTACTTAAGTCCCATTGATTAATTATTTAGGCTTAGGAACCAGAGTAATTTTGATCTTATAGCCTGTGTGTAAAAGCCAACGTTTTCGTCTACTGTTAATACTACTACTAATACTATACTGCTAGTAGCGGATGCCCGGCGCTCTTCACCGGGTTGACTGTCCATCGGATGACAGACAGTCTAGGGGAGATGGCTAAACCCTGCCTGACTCCAAACCTCCAACGACTGGCGTATGAAACTCACCTGAGCTCACCGGCAGACGTATGGACAAAGGGCTTATTGGATGCCCTGGATGTCTGGCCCCATTCAAAAAGGCGTATGAACCGATCACCGGTTGGTTTCCAATTGATAGTGGACTCTCTACTCCACTCCTACTGCCTTGTAGGTCACACTTGGTTGTGTAAAGGCTATAGCTGCACTCTCAAACAAAAGGCCGAGCGATGGTGGGGACATCACTCGTACCTAATTCCCATGAAACTTCATGAACTCTGTTCATGAAGCCGGCTCATCCTCCCGTAGGAGATAGCCGAAGTAAAGAAAGAAGAAGTAGTAGTAGTAAGTACTACGACAACTACTAATTATGATAAAAACAAAAACGAGATACATACAAACAAGAGGATTTCGTAGTCACCTACCGTTGTAGACTCTTCTCCTTGCAGAGGACAAATATGAAATTGTTAAACACTAACAAAATTAATCCAGTGTACAAACAACAGTTGTGTGTCAAAGACAGTCAGTCCCCTTCACTATAACGATACAAAACAAAAAGAGGAAAACACAACACAATGAATAACAACCATTAAGAGATAGATGCAAAAGAAACATCAGGTATGGACAACAAACAGCATCATGAGCTAGCAGCTTAGCAAGGATAAGTTGGCACTAGTATCTATCTCTTGCCACCTTCAACAACACGATGCTATGTGGCAGGTAGGTACTCTGTGAGAGTTGAAAAAAAAACAAATGTTTCTGTTAAATAATATCACGTTTATTTAGATTGGTTTTTAACAATACCTGCTTGTATGGTATGGTACTGATTCTCATTGTGACGAACAGCTAGCTAGATGATAGATAGTTAAATAATATAAACTATATATAAACAAAAATGATATTAAGAAGCAGCAATCACAGCCAATCACTAGCTTTAATATACAAAACAATACAATACTGTTAAGTACATTACAATTGAATTTTTAAGAAAGTATCCAATATGGTGGAAAACAGTCACAAATGAATATTACAGAATGTCGTGTTAATACAAACAGTAGAAATAGACAGTATTTGAAAGAATCCCGGTGGTTATCGTTAAGTTGTTGTTGGTGGTGGTGGTGGGGGGGGGGGGGAGAAACAGAAATACGAGAATAAAAATACAACAAAAATGTATGAAAAGAAATTACAGGTGTTGGAACTGCTGCATGTATGTGTGAGTGCGTGCGTGAGTGAGTGCGTGCGTGCGTATCTATGCATGTATGTACTAGTATGTTTGCAAAATAATGATCACTACTCAAAAATAAGTCAGTGTAAATAGGAGGGAAAAAAGGCATAGGATTGCTTCTCTGTTTCAAAAACAAACAATATTAGCAGAAATCATCTTCAATGAAATAATCATGAAAAAATCTAAGTTAGTCATCTACCCACCTACCTCCTCAATTAATTCACAAACACACACAACTAAAAACCAAAATATAAAAAATAAGATATCGCCATCAAAATTGAATTGTGAATTGTAAACCTTCTCGAAGAATTTGATCATAACACGCTTGCAGTGTAGTCATTAGATAGGGTAAGAGACCACCAGTAAGCGATAAGCGTTCCGGTGCCAGTTGTTCAATATACGCTAGTTCAGCGCCCAGGTACATAACACCAGCCCGGATGACAACAAATTGAATAATCGGTAATAATTGATCAAGTCCAGGCAAGTGAGACAAAGTATCCACTGAGCATATTGATGGATTTCTACAATTCCCCACCTCATCCAGCGATATTGGAACACGATTCCGGCAAGGCTTACTTTTACTGATAATCTGTTGTTATTGTTGTTGTTAGCCAACACATGCACACAGATTTAATTGGGTAGGTAGAATAAAAAAGAAAGAGGAATAAAGCAAAATAAGAATAATCGTGTAAACAACACGCGTCAAGTACATACTGTTTGTTAAAAAAGTACATGAAAAGTACATACGAACAGAAAATCTCCTGTTCATCAGAACAGTGTGTCTGTCGTTTGTACGAAAGCACTATCTAATCAAAATCAACCGTAGAAAAACAACACTGATTCAATTGACACGAAAGCAATAACAATAATAATAACTAAATTCAATGAAATACAACATTCTGCTATGAAATCCACATGTGAAGAGGAATCCCAAAACACAATTAACTACCTTTCTAGATGTCCCCTCCTGACAAGAAAAACAGATAGTAGGGCAGTATAAAGAGGAATTTGCACAGCACAGCACAGGAAAAGCACATCGACCGGACAATATACACATTTTCATAACTTTGTTCCTTTCCAGTACAAAAGAAATTCAGTAAAGTTCCTCCTCAGCCACAGGGTCAGAGCTATATGCATGCTCAGTAGAGGCGACTGAAGATCAACTAAAGATTCTACACGAAACCTTAATTGAAAATAGCTATCCAGACAAATTTATCAAGAAACACATGACTAAGATAGCGGAAAAAGACTACTCACTATCCGTAAACAAGAAGCCTTTATGCACACGACTGCAATTCAAGGACCCTATACCTAGCGAAATTATTATGAAGAACTTAAAGAAATCAGGTCAAAGAACTTTTAATGCTGGCAGACTACAAGTCTCATTTTCTACACAACTAGTAGTTATTACCTAAATGAAAGATGAAGTACCCGGACCAGCTAGCAACTTCCAAATTGTATCTACCAATTCAACTGCACTTGTGATGGAGTGAGTTATACTGGCCGTTGCTCTAGGCACTTGATTTTTTGTGCTCACTCAAGAACATCTCCCCAGTATGGCTAAATAAAGGTGTAGTGGAAACCATCGACAGTCCGATATTAGACCACCGCCTGGTCCAAACCGGCTGGCCGCAAAGTCAGCCAGCATTGAAGAATCTTTCTCCATCATCATCATCATCATCATCTATCGGGTACCAAACAAATTACCAAAAACATCCACGTACCGCATACTCCACACGCACACCAGAGGCTATAGCTATCGATTCTCCTACAACAACTGGTGCTCTGTTTGCAGAAGAAGCAAGTCCAGCCACTACTAATGAATGCCCTAGCCGACCTTCAATTGAGACTATAAACTCACGAATCTGTATCATTATTTCTCCTAATTTACCTCTCTGACATTAAGCTTATTTCTATGTTAATGCCATTGAACTGTAATTCACTGATATTATTATTATTATCAGTGTTGATTCGATGTTATTTAAACAGCAACATTAATGTTAATAATAACACTAATTCATTCACCATTAAGTATATAGAACCTGATGAAGAGCAAGTTATCGCAATGAATACTCTTTGTTCAGTAACACCACCGTTTTGAAAAAATTATAATGGGAATTTTTAATCATTTCTACTAACCAATAGTTATTATTCCACTAAAATCTCACTTCAGAAAGCCATACACTATAATTTACCGTCTAGTGAAAGAATCTATGCGTCAACGAGATACAATCAATGATAAAAATAATTAATATTGTTACAATCTTAACTATCCAATTACTAAACACTCTATAAGACAGACATTCTTGACTTCTCCTTCATCATGCCTACTGACATGATTCATATTTTTATTCGAGTTCTAAGTGAAGTATAAGGCTTTAAGCTTTTGAAGTTTCAGGGATGTTGTTACTTTACGGAGTAGGTTTATCAGCACCTCTGATATAAGAATAGAACTTGTGCACTGTGGTAGAGTAGCAAGCAATACCACCATCTCGCCTAGCTTCCCATCTGTGCCGGGCTTACTACTTCTGTAGGTAGTAAACCGGATGACGTTTAGTAGCGTGTCGGTTGAGCGTCGAACCCGGAGCATATGTATGGTTATCAATCATCAGCCTACCATTGAAACAACGAAGACATATGATATGGTCTAGGAAAATAATCACAATGTGAGATGATCCTCTCCATTAATGTTTCCTTACAGTCTCGTCAACTCTAAAGTACTGGTATCAAAGATTCAAGGTACACTGTAAAAAACAGCATCCAACCAATCTTTCCAAGATCGCTGCTAACGAAACTAACTACTTACTAGCTAATAATTATTAAGAAATAATCTAGCCTTCAAAATAATAATAATAATGGATGTAAGATATATTGGTTGTATGTTGCAATTTCATTCGGACAACAACTGGTTCACTCACACTTTGGATTAACTTAAAAGACGAAGAAAGAGAGAGAGACATTAGAGTTAATGTAAGTACAGCCACACCTAATTCTACGATTAAAAACCTGGATGATTCTAATGAGTAACCACCACTTATTGAGGATGTTTTCCCCTCCATTTGAATCAACATGTGTACCGCTTCCGATTACAAATTAGGCTGTACTGACTTAAAATAATAAACGATTAGCATGTTTGCTGCTTTTCATTGGAGGAGATCAAGTATTTACTAAGAGAGTTGAAAAACAAACACACACTTTGAAACAGACAACACATTCACATTTAACCTGAATGAACTTGGAGCCACATCAAGGAGATCCTCTCTCTCTCTCTCTATATATATATATATATATATATATATATATATATATATATTTATAGTTTTATTCAAACTGGGCTATATGAAGAAAGACATCGCTTTGGCAGGCAGACAACTCGAAGAGGAGCGAATGATTGCCAAAAAAGGCAAATCGATTGTACGTCTTGCTAACAGCCTTGAGAAAGAGTGGATGATGAAAACGAAGGAAATCGAAAAGACATCAAATCAACACTAGATAATATCCACCAATTATTAAGGCTTATAAGCAAGATGCGCCTCACCAAAAACCAGTGATAATCACAACAACACCTTTGAAGCTATATTTCCACAGCTTTTAAGAAGAATCCGTTCGAACATTCAATTTTGTACGACTGAACCCACCCAACATTTAATGGATTTTGACAAACGCTGTAAAGGCAGTCTTTAATCTGAAACCAGCTAATGCAGAAGGCACTGATAATTTAGCCTCGAAAGCTGATACAGAGTTATTCATTAGACAATAGACATAAGTATTAACCAAAAGTAGATAGTTAGTTACTCAATACCATGATAAAAACAGATGATCCATCACCTTGATATTAATACTGGCATGAAAAATAAAGAGCTCATCAAGGAAAACAAGACTGAGAGAACTTCCCTACAGAAGATTGTTGATCAAATCTTCGCTATCCGACAGGTCCTACCTCATACATAAAACTACCCACCGACAGGCGATATTTGTCATATCTCCCAAGTTCTAAGCGAAGATTGAATCTCATTAGTCTGAAGTGGTTAGAAGATGTGCAAAGAACGACGAATCAAAGCCTTTCTCAAAGAGCAAAGCAACCAAGACCAGAGGGGAGCGGAGAAGACAGGAATAGTACAAATTGAAGATATCACCCACCCCCACCCTCGAACACTTAGAATCGGCTATGTAGGCACGTTTCAGTTGCGTGTCTAGGTGATTATCAGAATAATTAACTACAGAAATTAGGATTATTTATTTATAACAGCACAAATATATTCACTTCTTATTATTATTATTTTCTAACTTCAATAAACAAATAGCTAAAGTTGATTAAAATTAATTTCTTTTCCTACTTCATATCCATGTTTGTTCATTACATACAGTAAGACCGCATTTTTTTGTGCTTTCGATAAATTCAGCCAACTTGAACCAATGGAAAATTCTGTGCAAGGTGCTTCATTGATTCATTTTCTATCATTATAAGAGTAGTGTATCTTAGTGTGTGTGTGTAATGCCAGTCTCAACGACAAAACCTTCAAATCTCTACCCCCTTAAGAACGAATATTCCAACTAAGTGAATTCATCGATCCTAGACCGGTTTCTATACTAGCTGACTTGTACACTCATAGCCAACGAGTAATACGTTAGACTGGATACAAGATAGGAAGACAGTGTTAGTACAAATTGTAAAACAGGTTGACAACGAATCCATTCAACTCAAATGACAACAATCAAAACAGACAAAAACTTGAACTACCTGATTCTCAAAGTTCTTTTGTAGTCCATATTTTTTAATAACTTTTCGTTAAAAACAAAGGATAACTATAGGAAGACTGTTTCAAACAAAGATTTCAAGAGTAATAGGACGAAAATAAACTAGGGAAAAAGTTAACAATAAACACAGGACCGCATCAATTATTTATGTAAGTGCAACAAGTGGTTAGTGGATCTCATGGAATCAAGCTAATTTAGGTTCAGGTGGCTGGCTGGCTGGCTAGTCGCTACTTTTACGAACGGCATATGTGCGTGCTTCAACTGAAAATACGTCATCCTGCTCTAAACAAGAAAGGAATTGACATGAATGTTATCGGAAAAAGAAAACATCCAAAAACGAGACTTAACGTTCAGATTTTAAGGAGTATGACACTATGCGCAGTCTGTCTTTTGACCTATTTCTGAAACTAGAGAAGAAGACAGACGTTCAGCGCAATTTTCTAGTTGCAAGTAAAAAAAAAATTTAATAGGCATGCACAGCGATAGAACATTGATAGAATGCTTATCAACAACACACACACACACAAGTGGTCCGGACTCAACCCTCGACCGACGGACGCATTCTTAAGCATCGCTTGACCACCGGTAAACAGTAAAGGCTAGTGGTTAGGCGTGAGACTAGCGATCCCATCCTGTTGTAAAACGACAACAACATCACCGCTACTGAATCTTCAAAACCCGAAGCGCAAATATTCCACTCGGAATGCATTACATTATTATTATTACTCCTTTGGGTTCCAAGTGGAACATACGGCCTCAACAAAACATCTTCACTGTGTTCTATTTTCTGCTGTCTTTTCCAACTGGCTGACCCCCCCCTTAATTGCCCCTAATCTCTCATCTACTCCTACAACTCAAACGATCTTCTACACGTCACCCTCGCAGCGACGACCAACTCGTCGTTCCCTATTGGCATTCCACTCAAGCAATGGCCTCGGGCTCCATGTCATTCAACGGTCCTATCAACGCATGCCCCATCCATCTCCTCCTACATATTTCTTCGGCGATTGGCTCTTGGTTGGTTTGTTCCATTGCAGAGTTTTTGTTGCTAATTCTTTCTGGTCGGCTGACCATTTGTTCATCAGTATGAAGCGAAGGAATGCATAAAGAATGGACAAGAAAGGCAAACGGTTAATACGCAATAACTTACCTGATCCACAGTAGCAAATGTCTGATAAATAATTAGAAGCTTTTCAGTTGCAGTAGTTTTATCACTATGAGAAGGAAAACACATAACAGTTTAAGTTGAACTTCAATTCTTTAGAACAAAACAAACAAGGTTTATGATATTCTTTTTTAAACGAGCGGCGTTAAAACAAGTGATTGATGAAGAAAGCAAATTTGGAAAACTTTTCTATTCTCACAGACATTTGATTCGAGTCTTGTCTGAACAGAATATGTAAGTACTTTTCATATTAGTGTAAGCATGTCTCAAATTTGAGTAATAGGACAGTCTCGTTTAAAAAAAATTCAAACAGAACATGTCACGGTTTACTGGAAATATGCCAAACTAGCTTCGTCGGATTCTACTAATGGTGGAAACAGACGAAACATCGAGAGACGCATCATTTAGAAATGCCTTAAAATACATGTGTATGCCTCTCTCTCTCTTTCTTTAACCCATCATTTATGAAACCTGTTTAGAGGGAGACGGGTTATATACTTAAAGTCTGTGGAAGCCTGAGTAATTTAGGAAGCTTCAGCCACCGTATTACGTGTCCACAAACAATTTGTCATCATGCTAAACCTTCTTTGATAAATCCAATCCAGTTTACAACCAAAATCGATGCATTATCATCCTCAAATATCTTTTAACTTTGGTAATCTTCACTGTTATTTTCACCTTCAATATAACCTTTTATTCGAATTATGTTCAGTGTCTTGTCTGTTAACGTTTCATCATATTATGCATATATGGGTGGATGCCTGTGTGTGTGTGTGTGTGTCGATCCAATTATTTGAAATGTGTTGCGCAAATATATTACACAACTCAGACAATTGTATGTCGCCAAAGGAAACTAAATTATCCCCAAAAACCGAAGTGATTGTAGTGAAATCATGAACTAGACAAGCAGACGGGGTATCAATGCTCATTTGGTAGATAGTTAGACTACTAGTCTGATTACCAATCCAGGTTTTCACATCACCTTCAATAACTACCCAGTACATGCTTTACGAGCTCTCGTTGTAACCGGAAGGTCCTGGGTTTGAACCCAGTGGTTGCGCACTACTGAGATGAATAGTAGTAGTCTTAAGGTGGGACGAAACAGTTGTCCCGTAGTCCCAGGTTTTCCAATCATTGTCTAACTGATGTTAACTCGTAATCAAACCTTAAGAAAAAAAACACTAAGCATACACACACTACAAAGAAGGGGCCTAACGTTACAACAATAAAACAAAAAAGTAACTTGCATTTTTGTTGACAACAGCCACAATTACAAACAAATGGGCTATTAGCAATTTCAAGAACGTAATCTGACACTTTCACACCACCTCGTAGATTCTGTTATGCAATAACAATTTCATTCATATTTTATTTGTACGAAAATAAAGGTGTGAGCCAGGCGGTACACAACCTTAGGGTCACATGACCAGTAGCAATCAATAAAGAGCACCACTACTTAAAGTCAACTGGATCCGATAGTTAAAAAAACAGTGTGATTTACATTTCATATGATCGATTCATTTTGGTTTCATAGTCAGACTATCATTGTAACCAACTCGTAGTGTCCTCTTGCAGCATACTTTATCTAGGAACGTTAGAATGTATGTAGTCGCTAGAAAGAGTTTGAAAAAAGCGTTTGAAAAACCAATATCTCTCTCTCCATGTAATAAGCCAATAACAGTTACAGTACTCGGTTTACGCCTGTTGTGTCACACACAAACAGACACATACAAACACTACAATACGATTATGAATATTCACACTTAACATAGAGTAGGACAATATAATAAAAGCAGTTTTTTTCAGTGCAGTTGCCGCTGACCTGATGCTTTTTATGCAAGTCAGAAGATGTCCAGGACGGCTACTGTACTGTACTGGTAATGTCATTGACTTCAGCATGGAATGAATGAAGCAGGGTGGAACCTCCCTCAAAAGCGGTATGAAAATCCTTCAGACTTAAAATATTTGTTGCTGATGTGTTCCAGTAAGGTGAGGTAAGGAAAACCAAGTAACGCAGAGAGACAGAAAGCTTGCTGGTCAACAGAAGGTTAGTTCTAAATGCATTACGACGACAGACATAAAATGGAAAATTTCGACAACAACATGAAAAACTGAATTTACTAAAAAAAACAACAACAACAACTGTACAACAATTGTCTGTCTGTCTGTCTGGCAAGTACATAACACAGTGTTACTTGACTGCAATGTGACAGACGAAAAATAAAGTAAAGTGGAAATATCAGAGACACGTGCTGAAAGAAAAAAAAGGAACCGGAATGTCTTCTCCTACCAATTGAGGTGAACTAGAAACAAATTCATACTATCTGCATACAACAAGTATTCTTTTCTTGGACAAAGCGGTCGAAGTTTTTTACAACGACGCTTACAAGAAACATCGAGTATATTATTTGCCAGGAATGTGTGGTAGGAAAAATCCAGTTGTTGTTAATCACCAATAGTGCCAGTTGTTGTTGTTCTCATCTTCTGGATATTAATTACACACTTCACATGAATTAAACGCTCTAAAAACACAATAATAACAACAACAATTACTCGGCACTGAGTGCAGAAGTATACGGTTCAGAGATTTGGCGCATGCGTCATCAAAACCATTTCCAACAGGTTACCACCAACACATACTTTCATCAGCAACTGCCCCCTTCTCTCGACACTGTTCATGAGACAGTCACCCGGAGACGATAAGTTTGCCCTAAAGGACACTAACAGAACTTACCAAATCCTACGAAGAATATCTACAGCTGGATGAAAGGCGGAAAATTCTTCGGATAATGGTGTCTAAACAAAAAAAATAATCACATGACAGCGAATTGTATATTAGTGAGTGAATATATATATATATGTATAATGCAATGGAAGGCAATGCTGTTTACTTGTGTATATACAAAACATCTGACTAAGATTTCTATGTAGTGCAGCTTAGCAAGATATGCAACTGCTGGTATTAAGACTAAATGTAACACTGATTGCACAAAAACTCATGGTACCGGAGAGATAGATGTTGACAGTCTAAAGAATGTTACTAGGCTATAGACTCAAATACACTGCAAAATGACCAAATTCAAATTCCAGTTCACTTATCAACCCACCTATGCAGTTGTTGAATAGCAAGCAGCTTAGCAACCCCTGTCGTCTTATTGTTGTCAGTGTGTAGCTGTATGAAAACTTTGTAGACTGCCTACTAATAGTTCGCTTAAACTATCACCGAAGTGATTACTGATACAAACAAGATTAACAAGATCATAGGCAAGTATGATATGAAGACAAAGGTCCGTATACCAGGGACAAGAGAAAATGCATGCATGCAACGACAGATTTACAGTTCAACCATAGAAGCACCAGTATCCATCTATTCTACAACGAATATTCTCTTTAACAGGCAACAGACATTGTTTACTTACCCAAATCACTATGGAAAATACTGAAGTCCACACACATACACACACACACACAAATCAGACTTGCCAATCTGTTTTTAAAAATATCTACATGAGAAATAATATGACGCCGACAAACATAACTGCACTCACTATAGACAACAAGGTACATGCAAATTGATTCACTCAGCCGTATATTATATGGTGGTACGTAGACGAATACTATTGAAGCATTCTCTCATGTGGTGAGGAGGATAAATCTGTCTTTGAAAACCAGTGGAAATCCATGCCGAATCAATCAGTTCGAAGAGGAGCACAAATTCCACTGATGATTATACAACGACAATGATGAAAGCCAACACAGCTATGCTTAAGTTGTTATCATATAATGAAAAGAGTATGAGTCGAAAGAGTCAACAACAGAAGGCAAGAAAAAATTCAGCTAAGAAAGGACACTAACTTTATGTGAACCAAAGTGGGCACAAAATTAACAAGTGATGGCAGTGCAGCAGTGGCTGAGCTGTTCTTTCTACGTTATTCAACTTAACACGCAGGGTCAATTATTCTAGCTTTAGCTAAATTTTTATCTTCCAATAATCTAGTTAAATAACCTAACCTAGAAAAAACAGACCTCAATCATTGCACTGCACTGCATATTCATAAAAGTGAATACGCGAAGAATGCCAGAGTCTCCTTGGAAGCTTGGTCGTCAGAGCAATTTACTACAAATAAAATAGGCATATTAATACTGGCAAATTTTATCGACTAATAAAAAGTTAGTAAGAAGATGAAATGGTCGAACATCGATCGGGTCAACGGAATGAGAAATATCAACAAAAGTGTAAGTGAAACCATTATGAAAAAAAAAACTTTACTATTAACCAATTACAGTCAGTGTCATCAGGGGGGATGGATATTTCATCCGAACAGAACTGCCAAAGCACAATTCACAGTGAAGTTAGAACGGAAGATGTCATCCAAAAGGTGAACTGAAAGTTTTGGCGTATATTAAACCATTCAACCTGGAGAACACATATACAAGAATATACCAGAAACACCCACCTAAACTATAAATCTTTCCCATCATATACCAATAAACACTTATAGATGGCGACATTGTTGATTTAAATTAACTGCCTAACTAATGCTAGAAATACCTCAGTTACGTAAGATATGCCATAAAAGCTGTGAACGTGACAATATGAACAGAGAGATGTTACTTACCGTCGATTTGTTAGAAACTGAAGGAGTATGCCACAACCATAAGTTCCTTGAGGAAAAAGAAATCAGGAAAATCCAATAAATTATTTGTATGTATACTCTTGATGGAATCCACATAATTAGGATACAAATTTAGAATATGCACATGTATTCTGAGATCAAACTTTTGACTAGGGTTAACTACCGGTGAAAGCAAAACTTCCAAAAAAAATTAAGACATTTTACGCTTTTGGAATCTCTACCGCCTCATCCGGACTGATTGACGCAAGAAGACTGATTCCAGCGAGCTCCGATTATGATGAGGAGCGAAAGCTAGTCAAACGAAAACTAACAAGAAGTCGTCGAAACGATCGTGAACAGTGGTGGGCGATAAAAGCGAAAGAGATGGAAAAGACATCGGCGATTGGTGGTAACACCGGACACCTATTTAGGCTTATCAGAGAAACAGGTGGTAAATGATGGCAGATGATAAGTGAAAAATCTCTTAGAAAAATCACACCATAATTAGCTCCCAGGATAGACGACTAGAACGCTGGAAAGAGCACTATGAGGAGCAGTTTAATTGGCCCACAGCCACGCTCTAAGGTCCTAGGCTCAATAATATTTAGTAGACTAAGTGGTGCTCGGGAGGAACGAACACGAGAGAACCAGGCAGGCTTTAGACCAGAAAGAGGGTGTATTGATCATATCTTCACCCCTCGACAGATTCTAGAACGCAGGCTTTCCTACCGGCGTCCAATAATCATTATATTTATGTGACCTAAAGGCGGTCGTCATTCGATTCTGTCGACCGAGAGGTTCTCTGGCGATGCCTGGCTGTAAAGGGAATCCCGAGAAAATACATTGCACTGATTAAGGTAATCACTCTACTCGTACTCATGCGGCCACCCAGGTGAGGGCTTACGGCGAGTTGTCATCTGAAGTGGTGACGACTAGTGGTGTCCGTCAAGGATGCCCATTATCTCCTTTTCTATTCAACTTCGTCATAGCTGTACTAATGGACTTAACCATAACTCATTTCAGTGACTCAGGGATTGACTTGCTACCGGGGAATAATCTCGTTGACTTGGAATATGCAGACGATATAGTCCTTCTAGGCGAGGACGCTGACAAAATACAGCAGAGTCTTCTGAACACATTGAGTTGCAATCCATGAATGTTTGGCATGTGATTCGCTCCCGCCAAATGCAAGATGATGTTACAGGACTGGACTACATTGACTCCTAGATTAGAAATAGGGAGTGAAGTGGTAGAGCACGTTGACCGCTTCACTTATTTGGGAAGTACCATCAGCCAGTGCCAGCGGGTTGATCTCTGACGAAATCTCAGCTGAGTACGGATGCAGAGGGCTAGTTTAGCATATGCCAGTTTACGCCGTCTCTGGAGTAGACGTGATATCTCCTTGGCTATCGACCAAAGGGTGTGTGTACTGCTCATCAGTCCGCTCCGTCCTCCTTTATGGCCGGATGTGAGACCTGGCCATTGAGAGTGGAAGATATGAAAAGATTAGTTGTCTTTGATCATAGATGTCTGCGTTCTATTTCCCATGTGAAGTGGTATAATAAGGTAAATGAAAATCTGTAATTTCCAGTCATGTGTCTCGTTTTCCTGGAAGGATAAATCTTGCTTTCTTCGTCTGTTATCTTATTCTCAGTGTGAGACGGAAAGACTGAGATACAAGTCGATGTCTTTTCATAATCGGTACACACGCTACAAACAACTGCAATCCGAACTCAGTAAAGGACGAGTTCTATCATACACTGTCTAGTTGGTTGGTGAAGGCTAAACACTCAGATACAGTTATTTTATAAGATTTGATAATGTGAAATATTCCCATATTATGAATTAAAAGTCAATCAGATTGACAGTTATTTTAGCATGTGATTTCAATACTCACGTTGGGAAGCTATGTAGGTGAGAAAAGTATATTGGCTGTACCTTTGGAGTCCCATACCGACGAGAACTGATAATGGCGGTTGTCCACTCTATAGGCTTCGATTATCACCTGTTACTCGTACGCCCTAACTTCACATACAATATAGCAAGACTTTGTCTAATATAGTGACTTCCATCATCAAATCAACGATGAACTGAAATAGGTCCTGTGGCTATCTATAAGATGTCGGTAGAAGACCATCGCTCTTTCTACAACACCTGCGTAAAGACTCCGATCCCGCTCTGGCTCCTACACGTATATGCCTGCGACTGAACAGACATAAAACACAAGGAACTATGATGCTCACACGCCTCAAAACGTGATTAAAACACGAAGTCTATAATCAGGGAAGAAATATCCAAATGCATACGTGAGATTGACAGCTACACTCATCCTACACCCATGAAATCTTCATATTTCTCCTGTATATTTCCCTATACTAAGGTTCTTTTGATTACTTTTTTATTTCCTCTACTTTTATGTGCTACACGCAATGTAGCAGCCTCAAGTGGAAGACTTCTGTGCAAAGTTCTACGTTCAAACTCAGCCAATCAGTTTGATTCAATCAGGATTCGGGTGGCTACTGTTAAATTACTGTAGGTGAACAACACTGGTCTGTCTAGTTAGCAAACAGTCATTTAGGAGTAATTTTGTGGATGCTGACTAGCAGTTGAATCCAGGATGGGTACTTCATCCTCTACTTCAGTACTCGCTACCTGGATTAACCTGCAATCCCAGTAAGTGATGATGTTCCCACTCAGGCTCAAATCCAGTGAACCCATCCTTTCAAACTCAAAATCGTTATCCACTAAAACACTTGCACGACGAAGCCTCCATACTAGAAGCCAAACACTTCGGTTCAAAAAATCATTATCAACGAGAAAACCAAAACTGAATTTAAAACAAGTAATATTTCAAAAAACTGTGATCATTTTTGTTCGCACTTACTTGTCTAATTCAAGGTAGGAATATAGCACAAAGTCAGATTTACAATGTAAAGCTTGACGGTATACCCAATAGGATTTATCCAACATAGCGTATTGTGCTTTAAATAATCCAAATAAAGTTGGATAGATATTCGGTAGGAGACAATCACAAGCCAATTCAAATAAACTGATTGATCTAAAGATGAAACGAAAGCGGAATTAACTGTACACAATCGGTCTTTGATCATAGGTGTCTGTGTTTTATCTCCCGTGTGAAATAGTATAATATGGTGAGCAATATTCAGGTGAGTGAGGCATCGGTCGAGTTTTAGGTAGGTGGGAGGGGAAATCAATAGATGAGGTTGTGAAGTTACATCGACTGAGATGGTTAGGACATGTGTTACGTATGCATACCTATCCATCACCTTCCTCGACGGACAAGGTTAGCTGGCTGACATAGGGGGTTAGGCTGGAAAAGAGCTAGCCAGTGGTGGTCAAACCAAAACGTGGCTTCATCAATCAATAAAATCCATAACAGTTGGCTTAAGCCAGTTACACGGGGAAGTGTAGACTTACTGGTTCGGGTTCTCAGGACGGTAAACACCAATGAAGGCTGGAGACAATTGGTGATATGGCTGGCCCAGATGCATCCACTCCCCGTGACTCATGATTCCCAAAGAAACCATATTGTTCTCCGTTATTACTATTCTTTTTGCCTCATATCTCTGTTTACTGTTACTATTTTGCATTTGCTGTTACTTTCTTCTTCTTTTTTGCTTCGTGTGCTACATGGAGTGTGGCGACTCGAACTTCTGCACATCGGTGCAAAGTTATATGCTGAAACCAGTCAGTCAGTGAACAATCGGAAATATATAAGGATAAGCAGAAGATAACTAGTGCGTCGGTGGTACAGCGGTAGAATGTTTACCCACTATGCCAGTGGTGTGGGGGTCGATCCCCCGCCGACGCAATCCCAAACCTCACTCAGCTGGTGATAAGCCAGGCAGAAAGGGAAGGTTGCACGTGAGACTAGCAACCCCATACCGTAAAAATGAAACCACTGCTACCGAAGCTTCAAAGCTGTAGACTGAAGCCCTATGTTCTACGGGGAACGCAAGGGAATAGCATTTTTTAAAATAGAAGCTTATGGAACAACCATGAACATAAAAATCAAAGAATTGACTACATGAAACGCCTAATACTTTCACTGATGCGTTCGCAATCTAACATAAGGTCTCAGCAGCACGTCTCCATTCCACTCGATTCTCTGCCATCTCTCCCTTTCAGCTGGCTGAATAATTTTTCACAAGCTTTCGTTTTCCCCAATCTCTCCCGCCCTACCTAATCTTCACCATTTCATAACCACGCGGACTAACGCCCAACCCTTTGTGCTGTGTGATATCACTCAATGGTATCCCCAGTGTATATCCAATTCATCGCCATTTCCTTCAGCGTGTATTTTTGGTTAAGCAGCAGGTTGTTAACTCGTTTAATACCTACTAAGGTTCCTTGTAGCTTATCCTTTCCGACTGGTTCATTTGACCATCTGATCTTCAGTATCAAGCAAACGAAGATATTGATAAGAGGTTTCAGTAATCTGTTAGATATGGTTTTAGCGACCCACATACTAAGACCCTGAAGAATACAGATGCATTAAATTGACAACATTAGTATTGAAAATTCGGATCATTTAGTTCCTTGCAATTAATCTAATATGCAGATCCCCACACAGATTTGAGATTAATCAACGTCTGCCTTACTTTTCTGATCTGTTAGTGCTAAAAAATGATACCAAGGTTCAATTCTACCACAATTGAGCATATTATTATTGTTGTTGTTGAAATATTCATCGCTGATACAACTGATGATTAGAGAGAAATTACTCACATAACTGACAATTAAAATATGAATTAGATAGAGAGATGGGGAGTTAGTTTAGACAATTGTTCACACAAGTTACTCGGAATTGATGGTTGAACGGTTCACAATCAAATGGATCATACATAGTCACTATGGACCAAATACGTCTCACCTATTATTCGATTTCTGTTGACTTTATTTATTTCAACTTGTAACAATTAGAGCTAATACACCTTAGTACAAGGTGTATTCCAGGTTTTATTCCAGTTGAAAATCAAGTATGAGAATCAGGATAGTTTCCTTAAGACAATAAAAGCTCATTTATTCAATAGTTGCACGCAATACACCTCTACCTGAAAGTAAACTACAAAATAGCCATTCATTGAAGAAAAAGAACCTATGCTTCACAATATACTCACTCACTCACCCGCTGAGTTGAACTTCAGGTAAACTGCAAAGAGATTGCCATTTACCTTTGATAGAAACACTTTCCTCTCCTCTTCCTTCTTCTACTTCTTCGTCTGCTACAATTTCTTCCTTCTCTTTACGATCATTTTCATTACACTGACAACAGTCATCAATGTCTGAAACTGAGAATTGGCCATCACGAGCATCAACATTGTCATCTTTACTCGCCATGTCGATGTGTTGTAGTAAATTGGGGAGGGTGAATAAATCACAGCTAACATTTGTTTCACAAACCTGATAAGATGTACAGAAACAGCATAAACAGCTTACTACTACTACTACTACTACCGCGTAATGAAATTATCTCTAGCCAACATACTAAACACCTAGTAATGATGAAGTTCATGCATAAACATTATTATTTATATATTTAAGTTTAGTTTACAATAATTAGTTTCAACTATTTATACATGCTATATTATACAGTTAAAACACATGCATAGAACATTACTCATTGGCTTAAACTTCTCAGTTTAGCCATGTATGAACACATATAGACGAAAATAATCTGTTAGAGACAATGTGTAGATACATATTCAATTGACACCACATCAATAAATTCCTTAATCATCTGATGATGACAGACACAATTATTATAAGCGACAAGCATTTTAAATGTTGCGTCGATGAAATAATCTATATCTGATAATTGTTCAGTGTTCTCTAACCCTTTAATCTCTACCAATGATCGTGAATGTGACGTCATCAACAGTGGCCATTTTACAAAAGTTAACCGAAAAGGTATATTCATTATCATGCGTAAATGAATAAAAGCTTAACTTGTTGGTTTGGAGAGATTTGATTGGTTTGAAGATAGACCATCCCCGCCAATGGATAGTGGTAGAACTCATTGGGCGATTGGATTTCATCTCATTGGCTAAGCAGTTGAAGTGGCTGCCTCGAAGCTTCAATGTTGTTGGCTTGACACCGTGATGCGGTAATAAGTGCATACACAGCTGAACAATCCTAAACTAAGAGGAAACAGCTATCCAGCACTCCCTTCCTTGTATTCACTGGTTCTCTAACCGGTGTGCTTTAGTACGTGGTCTTAACAATTGTGAGAATAAGGGGTTTTCGATGCAGCGGTTGTTGTACATACAATTTACTGGATGGAGTAAATCTTTCAAGGAGTTAACTACGAATTTCTGCATATAAGACAACTTATTGTGTCCTCACCTTCATATAATATCCAAATGATGCTTTACACTGCTTGTCTTCGTTTTCAGTAATTCTGTTATAATGAATATTATTGATAATGCAATAAGTCCTAAAACATTCCACTACACATGACATATTGACCAAATAGTTGTATTTTTTTCCCTTTTGACTGAACTATATTCATACTGTAGAACTTTGCACAAAAGTGTAGTAGTTCATCAGGTTGCCACACACTTTAGAAAACCACACACATACAAAAAACAGACGAAATGCAAAGAAGCTACAATGAACAAGAATTTACAGGAGAAAGAATAACTACACAGGGAATAATGAGGATTAATTGATTCCTGCCAGTTAAAAAGAGGAAAGGTATTTTTCACATTGAAAAAAATTTTCGGCCATGCCCAGCCCACAGTTACCTCCTAGCCATCTCCGGCTGGAACTGCGGTCGGGTATGAGAAAGGGATCGGAACCACACCACACCATCCAGAAATTATCAGTTTGACAGAAAGAAATAACCATACACTGAAAAAACGGAACTGGGAGACAGAACTTCCATCGATTCTACTAGCACATCAGGTTTTAATCCAGGAAACAACTAGTCACCGTTTGAGTGGATGTATACTAGATACCTATAACTGCCAATACGCAATAAGGCATAGCAGCATCACCAACAGTACAGTATTAAAAAGAGTAAATAATAAAAGTGAGGCATAAACAGAATAATAAAGCTGTAAAGTTCGAGCAGAGAGAAAGAAAGAAATGCATAACGTTTGAATTCAGGTCACGTTGACAAATACCCCTTCAGAAGTGGCGAAGACCAAACACCGTCTGTCACCAGGAGACGTTATCCTGTTTATACCATCATATGAGGAGACAGACGGAAGAGCGTTAACACTCGAGAACTTCAAAGATGTACACATTGGGATAAAGATTTCAGCGCCAAGACACAACAAGACAACGACTGAGAGAGACAGAGTGACACCAAAATGGTCTGAGCTACTCTGCCCGAGACTTTTTGACAGGGGAACAAGTGTGCCGCGTGTGCTACTGGAAACATTCTAAGCAATATATTGTGTGTCATCTGCAAGATGTTTAAATAGAGAAGCGACAGATCGAATAGCGAGGATGGGGAATGAAAACCCTTGTGAAGCAGTAAACAAAGAAAGCATGATAAGAAATAAAAGAAATCAACAACTATGAACAACTGTGAATGAGAATTTCAATCTAAGGCTTTTGTGTTTTGCAAGACTTTGAATATCATCTCATGATATAAACAGTTCTGTGTTAACCAAGTACCCCTGTGTTCTGCCGTTACAATACAATACAATACAATCTAATCCAAACAACACAGTCTTATCATCTATGAAAATATAACTTCTGTTTAAGAAAAGCAAAGAAAGAAATAAACGACCAGAGAAGGTAAACAACTTAATAACGAAAAAAATAATAATAATATTCTAAACTAACTTGAAATAAATGATTGACATTATCAATTTGATGCACTGGTATAAATGCTAAAGAATTGAGTTTCTGCTGTATAGCTTGAGCAAAAGTATGCGCTAATCTAGCGACAAGATGAGCATATTCACTAAGAGCTAATACAAGTTGTGTATGTATTATTGAGTAGTTTGGACAGGGGGAATTGAATAATTGATCCACCTCAGTTGATTGATGATGATGATGACACGATAACTGTTTTATACTGTTTATTGTACAAGTTATATGAAAACAATCAGCCAATAGTGAACTGATTAATCGTAAGTATTTAAGCCATAAAGGTGAAGATGTAGGGATTTTCAATACAGGCTGCTGTAGTGTATGCAGCATTTCATCTGAGTGTAGTTCATTCAGCATATTACACAATAATTCATCAATTGAGTTTACTGCTAATCCTCCAAGACTAGTAGGCAAGCACCAGTTGGCTAACTCATTGATTAGTTCAATATGCTGATGATATTTATTGCTTTGTGGACTAATTACGTCATTCGATGATGCATTAGATGCATTGTCCAGGGATATACGCTATAAATACAATGTACATAAATACGCATATGTGAGTATAATTAATCTCCTTTTGGAAAGAACAATCGATAAATAAGCTGGTGTTACAAGAGTAATTCATACTTGCAAACCATTGCGTATTGGATAGTGAATTAGTCAAATTGGAAAACTGAATGACAACAAATGACACAGACAGATCAACTGAGGTTTATCAAAGTCACTCGACCCCCCCCTGCCTGCCTGCCTACCTACCTACATAGCAGTATTAAGTTCACTCTTGACATTATTCTCTGTGTTTGAAAATCCTGTGAATAATTCAATTATCAAAATACTATAATCTTTTCATATCTTATTCTAACAGCTGTAGAGCGGTCCAATAACCTTTGTAACGTAGTCAGATATCTTCTAGCCGCTATAGAAAATGCATACTGAAAAAAAAACGTGTACATGATACTACGACAGAAAACAAACTGTTTCGTCCTAGTTCGGGACTCATCGTTAGTACACACCCACTGCCAGGGTTCGAGCCCAATGGGTGTTGCTCGATTACAAGGCAAGCTCGTATACTGTTCAGCCACTGGGACCCAATTCGATGGCCCATGTATTCTAACTCCCACCAATTCGTGATATTTAGCGCGAACACCAACCAATGTCATCGGCGGGTCCCAGTGGCTGATTGGTAAACGAGATCGCCTTGTAACCAAAAAGTCCTGAGTTCAAACCTCAGTGGGTGCGTACTCCCGATGAGTCAAAAACTAGGGTGAAATAGCTGTCCAGTACTCCATACTGGTTTTCAAAAGTTTTCTAACTGATATCAAACCTTGGTCTAACCTGAAACAAATACAATCCCTACAGACTAATTCTTGAAAAGAAACCAAACTGATATGACACTTTCAAAAACAAAGGACGCGGATAACACTTTAGATGACTTCATTTCCAGTTACTCAATTACCGACCAACGTTAACAGCAACAGATACACATCACATCATGACAACCTATCAATCAAATATCGCTTCCACCTTTACAACTATATAACTTCACGCTCAACACTTACGGCGAAATGTGTCTATATATCTGACTATTGTTTTATCATGTAAATGTGACTCATTAAACATTTTGTTTCACTGGTCAATACTCTAAGGAGTGTTTCTACGCCTTTTCTTGGTGGACAACTACTGTACTTTGTATATATTGCCTTTACATAACTGTAAGAAGTTACCCACTTTTTATCTATAGTAAGTTTAGGACTCTATGGTGACTGTCAGAACTAAATTTATCTAAGAGCATTAGATCCTAATCACCTCAAACCAGTCCCGTAACATCATTTTTCACTTGATAACGTCACACTATACAGATTTAGCGTTTTTCTCACAACATATAAGGGGTGTCCGTGTAGTCTGTGCTGACGAGGCTCATAAAGTGGTAGTTAGTTTATTTCTGAATGGTTAAAGTCAAGCAAAATTACACCCATCAATATGTGACAATCGACATCCATTATTGATACCGTTTGGTTGTCGTTACTGTGAGAAACAACTTTCACTATGCCCTAACATGACTCTGTGATTTCGAAAAGAGTATCTCTAAGTAGTTAGCTGCATTTGTGTTTCAAAACCTGTCCGTGTGAAGATTTTATAAGTGCACTATCGTTATATTCCAAAAGTTGCTTAGTTTTCACGAGCAGCTGAAGTTCTTATTCGACCTTTCAATTTTGTGACGGACACTCACCGCATCAAGACAATAAAGTAGGGCTCATCTGGCAGAGGTTTTGAACACGTGGCCACATCAGAGCATTTCGAAAGGAAGACCAAATTCCTCCCACTTTCGGACATACTAGATCGTTTATAGGAATGTCTCATCGTAATAACCGAACTGATGGACATGCAGATCTACCTGAAGGAGCTAGAAAACCCTGATTCCAAACCTGTAGTGTACATGAACTCCACAATCCGAACGCATCGAATGGCGTATGAACCTTCTTTAGTCACAGGAAACCATAGGAAGGCTTTAAGACAACTACCAGCTTCAGTTTAGGAGTCCGAGAAGAATCCCATTCCTCGTACAAACTATGAGATTTCGTATGGCACATTTATTGGTGCCCATAATGTATCAAGCTTCTGTTTAACTAACTTCTTCAACAGTTGCCATCCAGCAATCCAGTTCACACTAGAGAAGGAGTCCAACGCAACAATATCTTTTCTGGGCGTGCAACTAGCAGGACGCGAACAAGATGGGACACTCAAAAGATCCATTCACAGAAAACCAACATGGAATGGACAACTCATCAGCTTTCACAGTTGGGTGCCTATATATACAAAACGAAATCTGACCCGCTCACTGACTCACAGAATCCACAACATTTGCAGTCCGGAAACTATAGAAGAAGAGCTAAAGACCCTGAAAAGAATCCTCCTTGAAAACGGTTACCCGGAACGTTTCATCACAAAAGCTATGAAGCCCAAAACACAAAAACCATCCACGCTTACTGCTCCCAAGAAACTTCTCTATTTGAATCTACAATTCAACGGAGATTCTTCAGCAGAAATACTGAGAAACCGCCTGCGCCGTTCACTGAAGAAAACCTTCTTCGCAGCGGAACTCAGAATAACTTTCTCTACGAAACCAATGATTCGCACGAACGTGAAGGATAAGCTTCCACTGGGGGCCTCATCAATGTGCATCTACCAATTCACCTGCTCATGTGGAGCTAGGTATGTCGGCCGTACCCAGCGTTTGCTATCCAAACGAATCAGCGAACACTTACCTTCATGGTTTTATAAAGGAGAAAGAAGATCCCCCAGCCACAGCTCTATCCTAGAACACTTGATCGAATCCGGACACCAAGCAAACCCACAAAACAACTTCTCAGTTATCTACACAATACGTGGGAATCTTGCCAAATGAGTACGAATTAAACTTCTTCAAACTGCAGAAGCAATGGCAATTCACATATTGAATCCTGAACTCTGCATACAAAAGAAGTTTGTTCAGTCACTAAATCTACAATGGTCCTGATCTATCTTAACACCAAATACGTAATTTTGTCTTACCTCTTTCTTCTTTGTTTGTCTATTTCTTAACTGCATTATTTTCTACCCCCACCCTCTATTAAATCTCTACACTCATGACAACTGTTGCTAACTCGATTTTCGTTTATTTTTAAGTGAATTCTACTCAGCTTATTAACTTGACTCTCATTCATTTTTTCATTGAACCCTATCAATTAGATTACGTCACCCAACCTACTTTTGTACCTTTATTTTAGTTTCTAACCGATTAACGCCTTCTAAATTACGTAATTTGTTTGTCAAAAATTTACAATTGCATTAACACATCTTTGGAAATATTCCTTTTGTTGACAAGACAAATTACTATAAATTTGCGATTTGTACAGCTTGAGAATGATATCGCCGAAAAGAGTAACTCTTTGCTGAACACCTTTTCTTTTCTATGACTGAATGGGAATTTTCAAGTTAACTAACAATCATAAGAATAATAATAATAGTTTTCTGGAGTCTGTTGTATAAATGAATAATAACTGGTAATCATAATCGAGGTGCGTCGGTGGCATGGCTGTTAGGGTGCTCGCCGATCATGCATATGGTCCGGGGTTCGATCCCCGGCCGACTCACTCCTTTACCTCGCTAAGCCTGAAATAAGAAAGCTGGCAAAGAGGAAAAGGTTGGGCATGAGGCTAGCAACCCTATCCTGTAAAAATAAAAACTGCTTCAGAAACTTCAAGCTTCTAGCTTGAAGACCTATGTTCCACTGGGAACGCGAAGGAATAAAAAAAAATCATACTCGAGAAAAATAAATCTTTACGATCAGAACCAGACAGTAGCGACTAACTTACTTACTTGTGTGTAATTCATGATAAACAGAATTCTACCTGTAACATAACATAAAGCTGGATGAATACTATGCATGCCTTGTTGAACAACGTGAGGCAAATACAACAATACTCTGTGAATTTCGGTGTCGAGGGAAAGCAATCACCCACCACATAACGTATGATCAACCCACCGTCTAACAAGCGAGAAGAAGAATCCCAAACTCTTAATAGCGAAGATCATTTCATGCATTATGTAAGATTAAAACTGCCTACAGATATTTTGTCCTCACTATGAATACTGACGATACAGAGTCTAGGCCACACTATAGGTAAAGCTCAGGTGACTTAAAGTAAAGGTTATCTGTTTCTAAAATATAGAGGAAATAATGAAATTACACAAGGCGTCTGTCTATCAAAGAAGGACAAAGACAAAACGAACGGTACTGATGTGTGGCACAAAATGCTTAGTGCATTACACTTACATACATATAAGGAAATAGAATACAATACTCCCGAAAGGTCAACCACCAGTAGTGGGAGTTTACATTAAGCTAACTAATAATCACATGAGAATCACGAGAGACAAGGTCAAGTAATACAGATTGGTGGTCTGTCATAACACACTATTTACAAAACGTCGAAACATCCACCTTGTAGTCTCTCACTTGACAGTGTGGCTCTGTATTGCGAATCGACTGCTCCTGTGTAGCAAGTTACATAGGCCGTAGTACAATTAGGTGTCGGATTTCTAAACATAATCCTGTGCGGTTAAGTAAAGGACAACAAACAAAACCTATTCATAACTCTATTCTATCTCATCTCATGGATACAGAATACAAGATTGATATTAACGAGGGGGCTTTGAAAGTCATCTACCGCATACCAACTGAACTTAATTTTACCTTAAGAGTTCGTCTAGTACATATTGCTGAGACTGTGGGGGGATCTAACATTAAGAAACCTAACTTATGTACCCAAAAGAAGTTAGTTCAGACACTTTCCTTACCTTGATTATCAGGGCTTTAATTATCCTTAATTTGTTGTGGAAATTTCCTTAATTTTATTTGATATGCTATTTGCTATTACATTTTTTATGCGGTTATGACTCTCGCCGAACATGCACATGGTCCGGGGTTCAACCCCATGCCGATGTACACCTGATATCTATGGTTGGCTTGCACAGTTATGGCTACCGATATCGTAGAATTGTCTTTTGTCCTTCCTAGCACTCTTCTTCACTTCTTTGTCCAGTGCTATGTACGTTGAGCTCAGCGTATCTTTCTCTTGTCCGTCTTTGCATTGAATCATTTTCTCTTTCACCATTCTCCTCTCTTCTATTAGCTTCCAAGCGTCCATTGAGAGCCATTCCTTGTCTTGTCTCTTCTTTCTTCCTACAACCGTTGAACACGTTTCGTTGAGAATCGCCTTCAGAGACTTCCAATGTTCTTTCACGCATGATTCTTCAGTGATGTCACGTTGTGTTTCCTGCTCTGCTCTGACAGTTGCAGTGAAAGTATCTTTGTGGTTGTGTCCTTCAGTTTTTGAGTGTTGAACTTGCATTGTGGCCTATCCCCAGCTATCCTCGAGGCTTTTAGTTTCACCTTGAAAGTCCCTTCTACTAGATAGTGGTCTGAACCCACATCGGCTCCTCTTCTCGACCTTGTGTCCAGTAGGCTCCATCTCCGCTTTCTTGAGATTGAAATGAAGTTTATCTGGTTTTTGGTGTGTCCATCTGGTGAAATCCATGTCGTCTTGTGTCTGAACACACTGTCACCAATCACCAAATCATTGAGGGAGCAGAAGTCTGAGAAGAGTTCACCATTGTCGTTCATTTCCCCGAGGGTCTCACGACCCATGGTGAGTTCTCTTCCTGTGTTGTCTCCTCCCAGCTTCGCATTCATATAATCCATGAGGCTTTTGATATCGCCATTTTGGACGTTGCCCGCACAGTTTGGGCTACCGATATCACATACTCAAAATTCTATACTTGTACCAAAAAATGCGGTGGGGAATCAAGCTGTAATCAAAAATTATATGTATATAGTTCACATGACAATCTAATGAACACTTAATGTAATCTAGATTTGTCATAATTTAATGCACACTTTATACACACAAGTGGAGTGATACATAAACAAGGTATATACCAAGATGAGATGCACATTCTCTAATTCATCATTAATATTACTTACAATAACAACAAAACAAAAGTGTTTAGTATAACTGAAAAGGGGTGATTAGAAGAAGAAGAAGAAATACGAAAGTAGTAACCTTTAATTATTTATACATTATTAATGATGAACTTACAGATGTCAAACTGTTCACATAGTCTGTCAAACATGACGATGAAGTAGAATTTAATAAGAGCATAGTGTTAATGACACAATTACGGAATAAACTATCCCAACGCAAATGAAATGGAACTGTATAGGAGGAGATTAATCTAACGAAAATGAAAAACAGAAAAAAATAGAAGGAATAGAGAATTAATTACTTTGTAAGCTGTGATGTTTAAACACATTATTATTATTATCAATAATCTTTCATTCCGTAATTCCGGAGTGGAAAATAGGCCTTCAATTGCACATCTCCATTGTATCTATTTTCCTGTAGTCCTTTTTACGTAGCTCTATAGTTGCCTCTATAAGCCTTCATTTCGTCTCCACATGATCTCCTGCTAGATATCACTCCTGGATTTATGCTAAACTCATCACTTCCCAAACCATTCACACCTTCCATTCGACAATGTGGTGGTCTCCCCAGTGTATGTTCAGTCCATCTCCATCTCCATCTGCATGCATTCGTTGCTTGGGCGACAGGTTGTTGATTCCCTTGCCACTCACCAGAGTTCCTTCTTACTTTATCACTTCCAATTTGCAATTTTATCTTCACTACCAGGCGGAGGTAACTACTAATTAGTCTCCGCGTAGCCTATCAGTAGTGATGCTTTCAGTGACAGATGCGCCAAGTTTATAAACCATAATGAATCACTAATCTGACGTCAGTATTGAAAATTTGGATATTCTTCCTGATACTGAGTGCTGTGGGTCTCCAAATAATAAAAACATAATTCGATTAACATGTGTACTTTAATTGTTACACAATTACAACTATAAATGACAATAGATATTTTGATCATGACTGTTAAAACTGAAAGAAATGAAGTTTAATTGCCGGTGTTAGGTAGTACAATTTGATTGTCGCTAATGAGTGTTCGGTGAAGAGAGAAAGTTAATCTATGAGGGTATGAAACAGCACCCGGTCGACAACTGCTACCTTTCCGTGGTGGTCGGGCTTAAATACCGCAATGACCCAACAAGCTAAACTGGCTGGGACTCATGTCCCTGCAGGTCCTACCATGTCAGGAAGGTTGCTTAGATAGCGGTTACACTAAAAGCAGTTACCATGGGATACATGGGCTCCAGAATCCAATCGGATTAAATGGCGTATGAACCCATATGGGTCACCGGCAACCATGGGAGTGCAGCTCCTGATGCTGCTCCGCTGCCTTGCGCATTTGACTCCAGTCAAAGGATCGGGGCGTGGACCCTTAATAAATGGTTGTCCCCCAATGTAACATCTAACATAGATATCCTGAAACCGTGTACCGCGTTCAAGCTGGCCACCTACAATGTTCGGACGCTGATGCAAATCCGACAGGGTTGTTAAGAACATTGGAAAGCCTCGCTATCGATGTCTGCTGCATTTCGGAGACCCGCATTCAAGATCCCAGTGAAGTGCTTCGACCATCCTCTCCACCTGGAAGTTCTAGTAGTATGTACCACCTGCGCTTATCCGGGGACCCTGTGGCGTCGGAATCCGGCGTAGCTGGTGTCGGTGTCACACTGATCGCTGGAGCCGAAGCTGCATTGCTCGACTGGATTCCCATTAACAGTCGTTTATGTGCTGTGAGGCTAAAAAATTATACGAAAGCAAGGAGTAGTAGGCCAGATAGGCGGTGTCTATTTGTTGTCTCTGCCTATGCACCGATGGATTGCAGCCCGGATGCAATGAAGAATGAGTTCTACTACCAACTCAGCGATCTCTTGAAACAGGCGGGTCGAAGGGATATTGTAGTGCTGGCTGGGGACTTGAATGCACAGGTCGGGCGTCTAAGCTCAGAGGAGAATCGTCTAGGTGGTCAATGCTGCTTACATGGTCGCAGGTCAGATAATGGGGACCGTCTTCTGCAGCTTTGCGTGGATCACAACCTATTTCTAGCCTGCACCAACTTCCGGCACAGCCATCGCCGTAGCCCTATCTGGCGTCATCCCTCTGCGAAGCAAGCTTGGACTCAGATTGATCATATTGCTGTCAGTTTCCGGTGACGAGGATGCAAACAAGACTGTCGCTCCTTCAGGAGCACATGCCTGGACTCTGATCATGAGTTAGTGTGTGCCAAGTTCGTCTTCCAATTTGGTGGGGTTCATAAAAGGCGTCGTATAGACGTTGATGTGAGCAAACTAGTAGCACCCGCTACTGTTTTGAAAGACCGGAATGAGTTACAACCAATGCTTGCCAGCAACCCCCCGAGTAGTATAGATGAACATTGGCTTCATCTGCAAGGTGCCATGCAAAGGGCGACTGTAGCGGCTTGCAGATTGAAAGAATGCTCCGCTAAAAGCCACTGGGTTTCTACGAGTTCCTTGCAACTCCTGGATGAACGCCGGTCCATTCCAGCTGGCAGCGAATACAACAATAAGCGAAAGGCGCTCACGCGCAAGATAAGACAGTGATTACGTAAGGATCGCGAAGCCTGGCGGTCAGAAAGTTCGTGTGAGTGAGATGGAGTCAGCTGCTGCTTCTGGCAACAGTCAGAAGTTGTTCCAACTCATACGAGCCACCGGCAGCAAGAAACAAGGTGTCAGTGAGACGGTTTGTGAGGCAGATGGCACACTAATTACCAGCTTAAAAACACGCCTGGAACGCTGGGCAGAGCACTTCGGGAAACAGTTTAGCTGGCCACCAGCTTTAGTGTCTGCTGTCATTAGCCCAAGTGCTCCTTGGTCGGTTAGTACCGACCCACCCACCGAAGTGGAGATCCGTAAGGAACTCCGAGTACCGAAACGCCATAAGGCGCCCGGCCCAGACAATCTACCCCTGGCTCTTTTTAAAGATGGTGGTGAGACTCTCACAATGGCCCTAACTGGGTTGTTCAGGAAGGTGTGGGAGACAGAGAGTGTACCATTAATGTGGAACGAAGCCATTATCGTCCACATCTTTAAAAAGGGTCGACGTATTTCGTGTGACAATCATAGTGGTATCAGTCTGTTACCAGTCGCGTCTAAAATATTGGCTGCTGTCTTGCTTCGCAGGCTGTGCAAAATACGTGAGGGATTGATTCGCGAGGAGCAGGTCGGGTTTCGTTCAGGTCGTGGATGCATTGATCATGTGTTCACCCTCCGTCAGTTGTTGAAACACCGCCACACGTATTACAGGCCAACAATCGTTGTGTTTCTTGATATTAGGATTGCCTTCGATTCGCTGGACAGAACTGTGCTCCGGAAAGGCCTGTTAGAGAGAGGTGTACCTGGGAAATCGGTTAACATGTTGAAAGCCCTATACAGAAACACCTCGGGTAGAGTGAGGGCATACAACCAACTATCACCACTGTACCTGCACTCACTCTTGCGGGTGAACCGCTTGAAGTTTTGATAAGTTTGTGTATCTGGGTAGTTGTGTGAGTGCTGGCGGAGGGGTGACGGATTTCCAACCGTATAATGAAGGTTAGGGTGGCATACATCAACTTGAGCCACCTATGGCACCATTGCGATGTTAGCCTGGCTGTCAAAGGTCGAGTATACAATGCTTCGGTGCGGGCTGCCCCGCTCTACGCCTGTGAAACCTGCCCTCTCCGAGCTGAGGATGTGCACGCGGCGACTCTGCGTGTTCGACCATCGCTGTCTCCGCAGGATTGCTTGCGTTCGATGGATGGCAGCATCGCGTGAGTAATTCTGAGGTTCGGCGGCGTGTGTTTGAACACAGTGGAAATCACCATTCATTGAGTACCGTCATCTGGAAACACCGGCTCCGGTGGCTTGGACATGTGCTCCGAATGTCATCCCAGAGGCTTCCGTACAGGCCTCTGTTCGCTAGCCCTGGGACAGGACGAAAAAGGCGGAGAGGTGGTCAGTCCATAACGTGGCGTCGTGGGATGAAGGATTTTTGTGCTAGATTAGGATCGGTCGGTGAGTCACGAGATAACTCAAATAGATGGCTCAAAACGTTATCGGATATGGCCAAGAATCGTAATCAATGGCGAACGTGTTGCAATTTCCTTCTTTCTTCCCTTCCTGATGATAGTTAACGAATACTGTTTGAAATTGTTCAGCATGACTATTTTCCTTCCAGATGAAGTTCTTTATCCGTTCTCTACTTACATTTTTACTTAGAATCGGCGTTGTTTTATTATTATTGTGTGGCGCATCTTTCTTGGTGCCATATAGTACCAAGTTTTATCTGCGTTTAAATGAATAAATATGAAACAGCATTGATGGAGGTGCCCAGGATACATGTCACACATGTCAAGTTGTTGTTGACATAGTATTGGATTGGAAAAGAGTTACTGGTATTCAAACGAAAAAAAAATAATATCAATTCATGAAGTCATTGACTGTTGGTGAGTGGGACCTTTGGCATGCTATAAATCAATGGTTGGATATGGTTGGTGACATGGCTCAAAACTGTTCTGAATTGCATTCAGATATAGCCATTCCTTGTTATCTTCCAGATAGTTATTTATGTAATTATTCTACTTGTTTCTATGCAATTTTCATCTACTATAGTTCCATCAGTTTTATTTCCCCTGCCTCTTTTATATGTTTTTAGAAGACGTACGTGACAACCAGAATAGGTTTGATTTTGTACAGAGTTCTAAGTTAATAATTTAACAAATTCTAGATACTATGGTGTTCTGCAATGTGGCTACGAAATATGAAGACCTGATTGATAGAATAACAGCGTTTACTCCTCAAAAATCAATCAATCAACATATTCAATGGAATCTTACCGGAGGTAAACTGTGTGCGTCGGTGGAGCAGAGGTACAGTGCTCACCAGTCATTCAGGTAGTCTGGGTTTCGATTCCCGACCGACGCAATCTCTAATCTCACTCAGCTGGAAATAAGCCTGAAAAGAAGGAAAGCTTGGGCGCGAGACTACGTATCCCACCCCGTAAAAATAAAACCACTCCTACCGAAAATTCAAAGCTCTAGCTTGAAGCCCTATGTTCCACTGGGAATGCGAAGATTGCTTCCTAAATTGAACATGACTTCAAATTGACAGTATAAGTCTATTTCGGTCTATTTATCTTTACAAAGCCCTCAGGTGGTCGTGAAATCAATGTTTATGTGTGAAAAATTATGCTTAGGGAAGGAATAGTGAATTGTAACTCAAATTAACCTGAGTACATTACATCTTAAACTGTGCGCATACACCACTCTCTCACTACTCAAGATGTCAGCTGAAATGTATGACAGTTTATAAATGATCAGCATATCCGAACTAAAAACACTCCTAATGCATCGTTCATGAGACTTATCACAGAAAAGAAAAATAGTCGTTTAGCGTTTTTTATCGCCTTTATCTTGTGTGCGTGCGATTTTCGACGCCACGCAATAGTACAAGGTGTACACATAGTGCATGAATCTCAGTATTATGGTGCATTATACACCCCACCCCACCCACCCAAATACATTCAAACTTGAGGAGAAACAATATTTATCTTTGATTTGGATAAAGTTTATTCACACTATAAACGTATGATTCATTGTTATTTGAAAGTAGGTTCAACCGAAGATGAACAACTTACATGGCCAATTCAATATAATCATGATTTGATAATGTTTTTGTATCAACTGACTGATTGCAATGAGTTGAATTGACCAATGATTCAAAGCCTTGATTAGATATTTCATTTATCACAGTTTCAATTCGTTCACACTGCTTCCAGGCTCCGCTTTTTTCACGTTCTTGCACTAGAAATGGAACGCGTAAACGATGATGATAACTACCAGAGGTTATTCGCTTGTATTTATTCATTTTCCCGTCAACAGGTACTATACTGCCTTTAAAGTATAAAGTGTTGTCTTTAGACGGAGAACTGGCCAATGCACCTGAGAAATTTCCGACCAACAAGAGATTAGATGACAAAATCTTTAGGATAGCCTTCAAAGAGAGAGGTCGAGAGAGAGAGAGAGAGAGGAAAAAAGATTAGAAAACAGACTAAACGACTTACGGTATTTGCGCCAAACAAATTGACTATTACACCGTTATCAGGGATTTCGTCAACTTTTCGCTACACGTTTTAAGTCTAGCAAAAACTTAAGACGTATACAATCTACAAAGTATGGTCCTTAAGACTAAAACCCTTTATATTGGAAAACCCTTACAGAAACAACATTCTTAAATAGTACAGAGCAGTCGGCTCTCAAACTCGAATCTCATTCCACCGACTTCAGGCTAGACAACTAAGAAATCTTTATCGGGTGACTGATTTATAACATGATGCTTAAAGCTGATTAGAAATATAACAGTGAGGTTAAGAAATGGAAGTAAGATATGAAATCAATCTCCTGCTGATATCCACATAATCACTTTACACACACACACACACAAATACAGGCTTTGATGAATAAACTTTTACCATCGACTGTATTCTTATTAACCATTAGAATGTCTCACAGTGATACAGTTTGGAAAGTACATATTCTGTGAAGCTGTTTTTATGAATGGTCTTCATATGCAATATTGTCTTCCACGTTTCAGTTCCTTTTCTACACTAGCTCAGTGATAGGCTTTCTAGCAGAAATTTTCCACTCTTCTACCTTCCATAGTATGTTCCAATGGAAGGTTGATGACCTGTTGTTAAATTAAAGGGTTGACAAGATAAACAGTTCATGCGCATATGGCAGATAATATCTTTAAACCGCATAGAATGAATACAACTTACTGATGCTTACAAGAAACCCAACGCAATTGTTAACTCTAAATCAGCAGTAAATTTAGGAAGTTTTAATTTAAAGAGTAACCTACATCTTTTCAGTTTTAAATCTTAAGGCGAACTCCAAAAAAAGCAATGCACACGTTTATTTCATCCCTTTGCGTTCCCAGTGGAAGAAATGGCATTTAGCATTCTGAAGTTTCAGTAGCGATGGTACTGAGCTTTTACAAAATTAGGTAGCCAGCCTCAGATAGTAAAATAGACGAGAATTAGGAGTGAGTTCGTCAGAAATCGAACCAAGACCAAATGAGTAGTTGCCAAGTGTTCTACCATGAAATTACCGATCTATACCTTACATAATAACCAGCAAACTAAGTTGGCGTCAGTGGTTTTCACGATATATACACACACAAAAATCAAGCCAGAAAAACATACAATTTCGAAAGGAGTTAACTGCTTACCTTACCCTTCGGATGATTTTTAGAAAGCATACCAGTATAAATATTCCCTTCAGGAGTAATACATAAACCTTGTCCCTATAAAAACAAAATACATGTGCATTTTGAGCATATACTGTTTTAATTCCGGTCTTTATTATTATTATTATTATTATTATTGTCCCCTTGGGTTCCAAATAAAACATAGGGCTTCAACAACACATCTCCACTTTGTCCTATTTTCTTCTGTCGTCTTCATCTATGCCAACGATTACCCATAATCTCTCATTTCCTCCATGTGTCACCCACTCGTTATTTCCCATCCGATTTCCTCTAGAGCGATCGATGGCCAGGCATGTGATCTCATTCCAGTCTTTATTTATGGTTTCATGCTTTTGTTTACAGTTAAAAAAAAAATCAGCATTTTCAGATTTAAAAAATAAAACATAAAACTTTCGCATATCTAAATTTCATGTGATTTTATCAGCTCAAATGGGCGTTTGGTAAATGTAGTTATCCAGTTTCTATCTACACTGACCATATGATCCAGCCATGTTTAAACTCCCAGTTAGAAATGAGAAACTAGACGAAAAAATAATAAAGTGATATTGAGTTTACTGAAATAAATTGTGCGGGGATTAACTGAACTGAGGCTAGTGATGAATTTGATCCGGCATACTATATTCAAAATACCGACAACATCATCAAAGGATCAGGCTTTCGGTTCTCAACTCCAAAATTAGTGATTCTGTTGACGATTTAGTAGTAAGTGGAGGATTTCTGAGAGGGAGTGGTAAGAACTTGCACTTACGTAGGGACTGGATAAGTTGGCGAGGAAAGCCGTGAAACCGCAAGCACTCATCGTAAGACTCCAACCTAGTTACTTCTTTGGATATTCCGCAACAAAATGTCACTAAGTGGTGTAGTGAGATTTGGAAGATTCGCCGACTAGAGGATTTTTTAGACACTACATACATTTATTCCCCTTTATGAATTTGAATAGAGCAAGAATAAAAGTTTGTGTAGTAGTCTTCTTCGTCCACCAACAACAACAACATATCTGAGCCTTTGTTTGTTCCTACAAAGTGAAAAACCGACAAACTGTTCTTCTTGCTTTATACAGATGAAAGTATGTCAAAGAAAAAATAGGGGATGGGGGGGGGTGGGAACATCATATTAACTAGTTGATTACAATTTCTTTAAAACATACATTAATTCCGTTGGCCTGAAATTCTCCAGCTACGCAAACTCCAGACGACTGGTACATAATTCCACGTCCATACATAGCACCTTTCATCCATTGACCAGCGTACACATCACCTATGTAACAAAGTAATGTAGACAGACATGTGTAAAAATGTAGTGTGGAGAAAAGAATGATTTACGTATTCATCATGTACACTGAAAGCAAGTTCTATTTTGTTAATGATTTACTACTTATCTGCCTAAACAACCAACATCTAATCCGTGAAAAGCACACCACAAAACTGAAGTGCTATTAAACCAAGAGTTTATTATTATTATTATTATTATAAGTCTTTTGAATTCATTCAATACAATAGTCAAGATTAACGTGGGACAACTACATCTGATTGGTAAACAGTACGCTTATCTTGGTGATACGGGATTTTGCGTGCTGCTGTCCCAGTAACCACCATTGAACAATAAATGTTACCACTGATGTCAGGCGCATTCACCCATTCACCTATGCGGGTCTAGTCCCAAAGTTCTATGTCGAAAACAGACAGACAGACAGTCCCATTCATTATACCTTAAACTTACAACAATTACTTTACAAGTTGATCACGGATTGATATCAGTTATGGAACGATTGAAAACCAGTACTGGAGTGCTGGCCAGCTGTTTCATCCTATTTTGAGAATCATCGGTAGTACCCACCCACTACGGTTCGAACCCAGGACCTTCCAGCTACAAGACAAGCTCGTAAATCAATCCTAGAAAATTACTTTACAACCCAGCTGGTTACAAGGAAAGGTATTCAGAAAAAAGTTACTTTTCTCAACTATATCACTCTCGAGCCGTACAACCATATATATATATATATATATATATATATATATATATATACGGTTGTACAGCCTGAGGAGAAAATGACCAAGAGTAACTTCCCGCTGAACGCCTTTTTTATACTACTCAATGGGGGTTTTCAAGCTATTTAAATCTGTCACTGAAGGTGGAAATCGAGTGGAACATAGGGCTCCAACAACACATCTCCACTTCGTTCTATTTTCTGCTATCTGCTACAGCTAGGCACATGATTGACTATATTCATTCCTTTCCTCCTTTCCAAACGATCTCTTCCATGTCACCCTCGCGCACCGACGACCCACTCGTCGATTTCAATTTGGATTCAACTCGAGCGATGGCCTGGCGTGCGATGTTATTCGATGGCCTCTTCATAGTGTGTCCGATCAATCCATCTCCATTTTCTCCTGCATATTTGTTGAGCGATCGACTCTTGTCTGTTGGTTTGTTCCCATAGTCTCTTGTTGCTCAGTCTTCCCGGTAGGCCATTTGATCTTCAGTATGGGGCGAAGGCTTCTCTGTAGGTGGAAGTCTGCAGTGACCTGTTGGAAATCCGTTTTGTGAAACGCAGTGCAAGTTTCTGACCTGTATAGAAGGAACGACTTCACATTGATGTTGAAAATGCGAATCTTGTTCTTTATGCTGAGGTGGAGTGCAGAAGATTTCCAAACCGGTTTTAGGTTGATGAAGGCGTATCTCGCCTTTCCGATTCTGAGTGACATTGGTATCTTAGTCCGTTCCGACTGCCTGTAGTTGAATCTATGCTTTCTAGTTAAGTGAAGCAGGTAACCTCTGTTAAATCTCTCTCCGTATTCTGCACAAACGACAACATACTGATAACAGAGTCAAGAAAATGCTTGTCAGCCGTTCATTCTATAGAAGCACAACTACGACTCTATTATGGATAAAATTTATTTTGATAAAGTCTCACAGTGTTACACACTAATGTTTACTGATGACCATGTTTCGGGCACAATTTATTGCTACTCATAATCATAACAATTTACTCACACAGCCTTCCAACTTCGTTTACATAATTCCACTATTTCTCATCTCTTGATTTGATTGGTAGAAACATTTTCCATATTTCTGGTATGAGTGATGAGTCATTCCTATTGGACGTATTGAGTGAGCAACTTGATTATGATGCTTATGAGTAGCAATAAATTGCACCGCTCGAAACGTGGTCATCAGTAAACATTACTGTATAAGAACACTGTGAGACTTTATCAGAATAAATTTTATCCACAAAGGAATTATACTCTATCATAGTGCAGAAGTTCTATTCTTATATCAACGAAGTAGAACTATATCGCTTGGGCCACAAAATAAACCAAAAACAAATTAGAATTCACATCATTCCACAGTATGTCGTACTTAAACGAAATTCATGTATGACTGACTGACTGACTGTCACAAATGACAGTTTGAAAGGTAGAGTAGTATTAGAGTAAGCACGTACACACACACACATGCGAAATGCTGCTCATGGATTGTTAGTTGACTTGCATTTTATAAGAATAAAACTTGTGCACTGTGATACAGTAAAACCGAGGTGATGAAGTTTCTTGGCCAAAACCAACAGCAACAACAACAACAGACGACAGTCAGCATAAATGGGAAGAACCTGAATGAAACAACCTTCTTTACCTACCTGGGAAGCATCGTTTCAACTACTGCCGGACGGAACTGATGAAGATATCAAAGCCAGAATCGGAAAAGCGAGACAAGCTTTCATTACTCTCAAGTCTATGCGGAGGTCAACAGCACTCAGCATGAAAATGAAAATAAGATCCGGATTTTCAACTCCAATGTGAAGTCAGTCAGTGCTACTCACTATACGGATCAGAGACTTGGCTAGCGCATCATAAAGAGCACATCAAACAAACTACAGACTTTCATCAACAGCTGTCTTCGCTCAATACTCAAGATCAGATGGCCGGCCAGAAAAGATTAGCAACAGGGATCTCTGGCAATGAGCGAACCAACTCAGCAGGAACCGATTGTGCAACAAATAGGCAGGAAGAAATGGGTTTAAGTGGATTGGCCATACTCTGAGGAAACCATCAAGTGACATCACTAGACAAGCCATCGCTCGAGTGGAACCGGCCGAAAGGGAAGCGGGTGGCGAGTTGGTCGTCAGCGTGAGGGTGACTTGGAGGAGGTGATGTGAAGAGGAGATGAAAGCATGTGGGCAGACTTGGAGCGGGGTGAAAAAGCTGGCAGAGAACCGAACGCAATGGAGATGTGTGGCTGAAGCCCTATGTTCCTCTAGGAATTAAAGGATATAATAATAATAATAATACTGTGATAGAGTATAATTCCATTATAGAAAAAAAATTTATTTTGATACAGTTTCACAGTGGTGTTATACAGTAATATTTACTGATGACCACGTTTTGAGCGGCACAATTTATTGCTACTCATAATCATATCAACCAGATATAAGTGAAATCTCAGGTAGATTCAAACGAGGTGCAGATCATCCTCCAGTATAAGAGATACCATCTTGGAATACTGATTACGGTGGTTGAAACGTGTGCCACAAATGTTATGCAAGCTGCCTTTTTAGCCCTAGAACTGTCTGAAACTGACGTCAGTTAGAGAACCACTGGACAGCTGTTCCTTTGTCATTTGGGGCTGCTCGTCAGCAGTACACACTCATGATGCCATTGAAACAAGACATTCAGATTATGACACGAGGCCTCTGAGATAGAATCCAGTGGCCCAGGAAATCTAACTTCTCTCCGTGTTCAATGAAATGGATGCGCTGGAGGAGGAACAGACTTTTGGTTAACTGGTGCAAAATACAGATGAATGTTAGCGACAATAATCACTTCCAAGCTGAAGAAAGACAAAGTGTAGAAACAGAATACAAGTGATTGGGCGAACCCGATCACTTATCCACTAAGTAATTTGTGCAAATTAATTGTGTAGTTTTTATAAATAATAAAACTGGCTTGAAATAAATTTATTTAAATAAACACATATTTTACATAACCTACTAGTTGTAATATCCTTCTGTATACCGAAACCTTCCTGTTTATCAGCAAGCCAATTGCCAAGATAAACTGTACTCCAATCATTTGGTTTCCCATGTCGTTTTGCACATTTCGCTTCACTTTGTTGATTATTATGATTATTGTTAGTAGGTGGGAAAGTCTCTTGACAACCATGACCCTCTCGAGTACCGTTTACAAACCAACCAGTATAAATATCACCATTTATACATCTATAAATCACAGTAATTAGGTGTAATTCAAAATTAAAGCATACCTTAAAGAGCCTATACCATGTGGTCGACCATTTTTCCATTCAGCTCGAACATTGATAGAACCTTGAACTGTTTGAATACACAATTCACCTAATCTATTTTATATTAAAGAATGAAATACACCAACGACAACAACGTCAATAGCAAATGTGATCGATCAGACAGAAAACTTACACATGAGATAAGAAGTGTAACAAGGAGAATTAAATAAAAATCTCCACCACATATCCCTTTTTAAACGCAATACAATAAAAAATTATTACTAAAAACACCGTTTATTCCCTAAAAAGTGTTGATTTAATCAGTGAAGACAAGTGAAGTCGATGGTAGCTAACCGATTTCAATGTTATCCTTCACAATCCAAAACAGTTACGACAACCATATTCCCAAATGATGACAAGTTCGTTTGTACAAAAAACAGACATGCAGACAGTCGGGTCAATTTTTATACAACCCAACAGAATCATGCATCGCCGAGGAAAACTCCTCTCCAATACTTCATTTTCAAATAATTCCAGTCGCCCTACACACATTGTCAAATAAAAAATATTGATTTTTGGACAAAGAAGCGTTTTTAATAGATTATCCCGTCAGAGGATTGTACATAAGCACAGAGTGCCCCAAACATTTATCAATCTCCTACAAAGGCCACATTGACGATCCCATATGTTGAATGATCCACAAAGGAACATTCAATGAAAGAAGGTCTGCTTACTATCACCGATGGAATTCTTGATTGTGGTGGACTGAATCATGCAGTGAGAAGGAATCCATTAGACTGACAAGAGGACTCAAAATTATCTTTACTTCATGGGTGAATTATGTCCAATGTCGCACAAAAACTCAAAAGTCTACAGTCAAAAATCAACAAGTTGGTAGAAGAGGTTGGCAGAGGAGAGGATTATAAACAAGAAACTCTGGAGGCAGACTAACCAATGGCCTATTGTCCAACAAATACGCAGAAGGAAATCGATTGAACACACTCTGATGAGACCATTAAGTGACATCGTGCCCTAGACACAGCCTTGAGTGGAACCCAAAATGGGAACAGATGAATTGATCTTCCGACGACGGTGACATAGAGGAGATATCGTATGAAGAGATAATAGGGCCTGTTGTGGGCAGTCGTAGACCAAACAAAAGAGTTCTGTAGACAACAGGATAAAATGGTGTTTTTCTGCTGAAGCTCTAAGTTCCACTGGGAACCAAAGGGAGTATTAATAAAATAATAAAAAGTATGCAAATAAATGAACGTTATTCATACTGCATCAGAATACCAACTGGAATCATTATTTTATGATTTAGAATACAAATCCAAACGAATCAACGGTGAAGGTGTATTTTCAAAGGTGAAAAGCTACCTATCATAACATCATTTTATCTCGCTACACCTTAGGATAAGAAGAGAGATGATAAGAATTAAGAAGCGATCTATCATTGCAATTTCAAGTTCATCAACTCCTGTCGAGCGGAGAAAACGAAACAATCTCTTCCCGCCTGTCAATAAAGTGTTTATCAGATTCAGAGAATGGAGAGTTGTCAATGCGGAGTAGTCAAGTGAAGGGTGGTCCGAGTTCGACTCCCAGTCAACACACTAGCAAACGACGCCTAGTTCTGCTAGTAGGTAATAAGCCAGGAAAAGAAAAAGGAAGGTTGGACGTCAATGCTGATAACACCATCCCGTAGAAATCTAACAATAGAATTAACAAGAAGGTACCATCAAACTTGTCCAACTCACTTCTGCATATATCACTACCAATTGATCCATCTAACTGACTGTGTAATTCAAATGATGGACAGTGTTCACAAAGTGATTTGTACTGAACACTCCTTAAACTAGTCGAGTATACAGTAAGACCTTTGAATTAATTTAATTTATAATGTGGTGGGGTGAGATACAGACAGTGTGTCCCAACTGAATACTATTCTCACATATACCCACACTTCAATTCGGCATTAGTGGTGACACAATACGATATGATGTCTGTTGTTTGAACATTCTATTTGATGTTACAGTTGGAATGTTATTCCCACATCTCAATACTGCATACAATATATCCATTTGGACATTGTTCTATTGATGTTAGAGAAGGAATACTTTTCCCACGGTTATATACTGACTGACTGACTGCGTTAACAACAGAATACTATGTATATTTTGAACATTCTATTTCATGTCGTTTTAATGTAAGCCGAATTCACAGGCTCAGTTATTGGTTAACGAATATAGACCGTAGATGTATAAACAGACAGACAGGTTTGATGAATGAAAAATATACCTTGGCTTCCGTGTCTTCGCCTCAGAAAAGACCATGTCATATCACACAGAACACTGAAGACTATAAACAGTCTGGGTTAGTAGTGGTGTGCCGCCTTTGACTCATCTAACTGACATTACTGTTCATAGGCTCTTCAATTATCTGATACCATTGAACATCCATCTTCTCTACTTATCCTCAACTTTTACCTTGTCTCTCTTAGGGTAAAACAGCAAGAAACTTCATAAGAAGCATTCACGCTCGTACAGCCAGTAAATATAAAAATCCTACCATACCGTAGTCAGAAGGAGTGTTGTGTGAAGAGTCAGAAAAGAACTTATAAACCCTTTGAATCATTAACTGAAGTGCAAAGCATAAGCAAACATTATTGCTACATGTATAATAATTATTATTATTATGATACTATCTACTTATACTTCATTGTTTCCACCAACATCATTCTGCTTATAGTGATTTCTTTATTAATATTATTATTATTATTACTGGAACTTCAAAAAACAACTTGAAGCATAATAACACTCTGAGATTATTGTTTTGTAGTAACGTAGTCAAAATATGTAGCCGGAAGACATTTGCATTGACATAAAAGAATGAATGACAGCGAATGAGATATGAGACAAAACTTTTCCCCTTGGATACGACGTTGGATGTTGAAGTAGACAACCACATATACACTTGTGAATTCCCATACACATACATACACTTACCCATTAAGCTGATTCGATTGAAATTCTCCTGTACAAAATATAGATATCACTTCATTCTCAATATTCTTTACACCAATATCCAAAGGACCAATTAATGAGAGAAATAAACGTACTGAATCCGGTAGTTGTCCCGACGAGTAATCATTATCATCATTGTAATTATTCTGTGGATGATAGATTAAAGAACTTGTTTCAGTCGAGTGTGTTGTTGATTGTTTACAGGAGTGTAAGGAGTGCAGATTTTTTGCTGGCCAACACATTTTACCACTTCCATCCAGTCTACCATTCAGCCAAGAACCATAATAGGCGAAGCTTTCAAGTGGGCCAGATCGAAATAAATGATATAGGCCTGAAAGGGTGGGTGTACAATGTTTTTCAATTGAAGTAGGAACAACAGAATGGGATAGTAAAGACACAAACAAAAAAAGCACACGAAACAACTTCACATTGGAATCCAAGCTCAACTCTAAAGTTCATTTCTTTAAATGTTTTGTTCAGAAGGTCGACTTAACATAGTATTTATCAGTATTTTCATTGTTGGATCCCTTTGAGAGGGATATCAAGGAATTGTACCAGTGTTACAAACTATGATGAATTGAAGCGACTCAAACAAGTCCTCGATCGAAATGGATACCCTACAAGATTTACCAACATAAACATCAGAGCAAAGGAATCCACATGGTATCGAAGAAATTGCTGCTATGAATGTTAGATTTAAAAGTGTTACCTAGACTGAGATTCTGAAGAACCATATATCCAGATCATTAAGAAAAGCATTTTTTTCACTGAGGTACGGTCCCGTCCCTACACTGGGTAAACGATCAGTGTGAATGATGAAGTGCTTGTTTGGGTAACTTTAATGTGTGTTCATAAAGTCACCTGCTTCTGTAGAACTGCACAAACCGTACACTTACCAAACTTATTTCAGAACACTGTCCAGCATGATTACTAAGAGGACAATGCAAGTCAATTACTGGGTTAATTATTGATCACCTGGTGAACTCAGGCCACACAGGTTCACCAGAGCTCTATCCCACAGTTATCTACATAATAAGGCCGAGTGGTATTAAGTGTTATGCTTCCGCAGTTGTCCACGATGAAGAAGCTAGTGATTCATCCATGCAACCTCGAAATCTGTGTATAGAAGAGGTTTGTTCAGTTTCTTATTCGATCATCGTCTTGAACCCATTTTATAACTTGTTTGTTTCCATCGCTGTTGTTATTAGATGACCGGGGACATTCAGCAGGAAACCCAGCTTGACCTGGGTTTCGTGATTCCCCCAGTGCTACAGTCAGAAAGGCTACGACCGAGCTATTCGAGCTCTCAATTGTTCTCCCATAGGATTGTTTCAGATACTTTGGTTGAACACCAGGTAGTAAATAACTAGTGTCATCAGTCTAGAACTTCGTCTGGTCCTAAAGGAGATCACTAGCGAGTCTGAATAGCTCAGTGGTAACGTTTCTGACTGCAGCCCTTGGTGACAATTGGTTCAAATTTCAGTGGGGATATGAGTTCCTTCAACTGGGGGTTGCAGATACGCCTTGCTGACTGACTGGTGACTGCCAACAAACACGAGACCTAGGGGTCCAAGAATTGCTGGTGATTGTTTCCAACCACCTAATAACAACAGTTCAGAAATGGGATATGATGGCGAGCCACCTAGAGGCATGCTGGCCAAACAAAGCACTAGACGTGTAACATTAGTTGCTTGTTGTTACCTACTGTTCAATCAAAATAGCACCATAAATATTATAGCACTCTTATATCTTCCTTTTGTCTGTTTCACTAGGTATTTCTTTCTCTTACTTTTTTTCAAAACCCAATCGAGTAATAGGAATCATAATAATAAAAATAAATATAATAAGCACTGGTTATTGACTGACTGTGCAGCGATAGTCTTACTAGCCAAGAATGAAGAAACTATTATCTCATTACTGTTCTAAATCGATATGACAATATAATGTTGCATCTAACTGCTATGTACTCGTCGAGTAGTTAATAGTCCTGACACGGAAAGAGGGAAATCAGAAGACGACCACCAGGTTTACGATGATACTTGTATTTTCTAGACAAGGAAAATAAATGTCACACTACTGTGTGAGTGGAAGGGTACTTAGATGTACGAAAACGTGAGAACCAGAATTGTAAAGCAAGAGTGTATATGGAAATGGCTAATACACATAAACCGATAAGATAACATCTTACCATGATTGGTTGTAATGTCATGTGATAACAAGGTCATAGATTATTTATTTAGTTAGTGGACAGATAAAAGCATTATGTCAGTTATAATGAAATATCGATCCATTTACATATAGCAAAATATGATAGACTGTCAGAAACAAAACACACACATCATGTGGGTACATATCACTAACACAAAGTACAATTATTCTAAGAGTATATATATATATATATATATATATATATAAAGACTAAACATAAATCACAGATTAGACTTACAACAGCGACGTTCACGAATAGAATTACATTCTACTGTATTATCTTGAGGAGATATAATCCCATTTCGACTAACGAATAAATCACCACGATTTGAGCATACCGATTTGATAGTTTTCAACAGAACAGCATGCCATAGTGACTGTAAAAATCAAAAGTATTTCTTTAGGAGAAGTTGAATGAAAATCGATTATATATATATATATATATATATATATGTCTTTTTGCTTATTTAATTAGACCTCCCCACGGCACGTGGAAACTCTGCATAGTTTACTAGTGAGCCCAAAGTCCGGTAAGGAAAGAAGGAAGGCTGAAACTGGGGACAGCAACACTACCCCCAACAAAGCCCTACCGCTGCTGAAAATTCAAAGAGCAGCAAAAGTGCACTCATTCTTAGATGGAATCTGGAGGAGTCTTCAATTCGAGGATGTATGACGCTGGTGGGTGAAAGCATTCAAAAAACCAGTCGGCCGATATATCTTCTTTAGAGGAAAGAGAAAGTATGGGACATGGAATGTCTGCACCATTCCTAAGCCTTGCAAGAATGTTAAGATTGGAGAAGAAATGAAAAGACATGGTATACAAACGTTAGAAGTTTTTAAGAGCAGATGGACTGGAGGTGAACTCTCCAGATTGTTAAGTGAAGAGTCAATAATACACTCCGGTCATCAAGAAGACAACCACGAGCACACTGATCGAGTCACCATCATGATGTCACCAAGAGTTTTGAAGGCCCCGATGAAGTGACAAACAATCTCCTCTAGGATCCTCACCCAAAGATTCAACTCAGAAGGAAGGAAAGTCATAAATATGCAATATTGCATACCCGAAAATTACGCAAACCCAAAGAACAAGACTTTTGCAGATAACTGTAAGTAGTAATAGACAAGATCAAGGCGAGATGGCGGTATCAGAATTCTGATGGCTGATATGAATGTCAGGCAAACTCGTAACAAACAACATTGGATCGTGAAGCGCTCGGTGAAATGAATTAGAATGGAGAGAGGCAGTGTGTATAAGTACGAGGACATCTACAACGTGACGTGTGTCTTACCATATGCATACACCAGAAATCAGATAGACTTTATGCCAATCTCAAGAAAGTTGAAACAGCCTGCTGGACACAAAATTGAGAAGAGAAGCAGATGCGGGAACAAACCACTATCAAGTGCAAGGAACCTTTAAAGTCAAGTTGAAAGAGTCCAAAGAAACTGGAGACAAACTACAATTTCAGTTGAACAACAGACACCTTGACCGCAGTCATTAAAAAATTCGGGAACACCAAGAAACCGAAATTTTCTGAAAGCGACACGGAAAAAACTTTTACAGACATATTAAACAAGAAGAAGGGGCAGGACAAAGAATGACTCATTACAGATACCCGGATGATAGAGGATACAAATATGGTGAAGCAGAAGATGAACAAAGAAATAAGAAGATGACCTAAATGACTTCACCCGGAACAGAGAGAATCCACGGAAGCCAAGTCATGCACAGTCAAAATAGCAACACTAAGTATCATCACCGAAGTGTTTAGAATGGCAGTCAACTCTGTACCTCAACTAGCCTTCGACAATGTCACCCACGAAGTAATCTGGCAAGTGACTCAATACTCCAGAGTGCGGTGTCATCAACTTTTGTAAACCTTATTCAACTGAGACACGATAATGCAGCATCTGATTTACTTGACCTTGGCGGCCTGTTCGAATTTTTGGGCCTGCTACCAAAATATCTACATTTTGCATCCAGTTTACTGTTTACCAGCATACATTTATCACTTAAATATGAATTCTAACAGAATCATTTACTCTCGTAACTTTATTAATGATTTACGACCAAATGACTTTCATATTCCAAAGAAACCAAGAAGGAAACATCGTAGTGGTTGGCAGAGAGCTCTCAAACGTACACCAATACACTTAACTACGGTCCCCGTCATAATGAACTCAAACTGTCGCTCTCTGCCAAATAAGATAATGTACCTACAATCCCTGATGTCAACTGATACGTATCATAACACCGCCATAATCGCATTACAAGAAACGTGGTTGCATGAACTGTATGATGACAACCTTATCTCACTAAAGGACTTTATTTTATTTCGTCAAGACCGTCAATGTTGTAATAAGAAAAATGGTGGTGGCGTTGCAACTTTTATTCACTCCAAATGGTCTGTCTCAAATAACGTCTGCTTCACCTTCTCAAATGACTTCATTGACTGTATTACTGTCAAATGTCGCCCCAAACATATCCCCAAATATAAACAATTCTATATTACAAACATGTACATTTCTCCTAGTTGCTCTCCATCTGATCTATCTAATTTTGCTGATGAATTCACCATGTTTGCTGCTGCCAACTTCGACAACTCTCTATCCGTTATTACTGGAGACTTCAACACATCAGATTGCTCCTTTCTTGAAGCTCTTGGTCACACAAACATAGTCAAATTTCCCACTCGACTTGACAAAACACTCGACTCGTTTTTACTAATGACGAAGGAGTATATGAAACACGTAGACGTTCACCGATACATAACTCCGATCACTGCATTGTCCGCGTTTTGCCAAAAATATACAGCAAAACACATATTAAAATCTTCTCACACCTGTCTACGAAGCACAAGAAAGATGCTACACATCTGACAACTTACTCAATCTAAGATGCATGTTAAAAGATACCAACTGGGATCTATTCTATGAAAGTACATTAGATGACTCAATCACCAATATAATGGATTATCTTAAGTTCTGCCTCGACATATGCTGTCCCAAACAAACACTGTTCAAACGCCTCGACCGCTTCTCGTCTCCCCGTCTCAAACAACTTCGCAGGCAAAAAGAAATGTTATATAAATGCAAAGACAAGTTAGGACTTAAAAAGATTAATGCTCAAATCAAATCTGAAATCAAAAATCTTAATGCTATCTATAACCAAACACTTTTATCATGCAAATCTCCTAACAGCATGTGGAAACTTTTCAATGAAATTACTGGCAAAAGTAAGCGATGTAATGTTTTTCCCTCTTGTGATGTTAATGCTCTTAATCTGTCTTTTTTACGCTCTCCTTCTACTATAACCACTTCTAACGTTACCAATCTTGTAGCTGATAACTTCCAGGACTTCAATACTCTCGATGTTTTGAAATGTCTTAAAACTCTTAAGCCCTCACATAGTCTTGGCCCTGATAGCATACCTGCATATGTTCTAAAACAATGTGCAGATGCTTTATGTTCTCCTCTAACTAATATCCTAAATGCTTCTTTCTCCGAAAACGTTGTACCTGTTCCATGGAAAGACATTAAAATAGTCCCTGTCCCTAAACCTGGAAATAGCAAGAACGTAAAGTTCAGACCCATCGCCATCACTTCCCCGTTTCTAAAGCTCATGGAAAAACTAGTACTTCTTAAACTCGAACCCTCCCTTAAAAGCTTCGAAGACCCCAAACAATTTGCCTACAGACAGGGTAGGAGTACTTTAGACGCTGCAGCCGTCTTACACAACAGTATTGTCTCATCATTAGACAAAGGTGCCAAATATGTCCGCTGCACGTTTCTTGACTTTACTTCTGCTTTCGACTCTGTACCTAGAAGTCTCTTGCTAAATAAGCTCTCCATGACACAAACCGAGTCCTGGGTCACTAACTGGTTGCATTCCTACTTTTCAAACAGAATGCAGTACACCGTATACAAAGGCCAATCCTCCTCTGCTGTGCTCACAGAAGCTGGTGTCCCCCAAGGTGCTGTACTCTCCCCACTTCTCTTTTCTTTCTTCCTACATGACCTACCGTCTTCAAATGACATTAACTTTGTCAAATATGCTGATGACCTAACTGTATCTTTACCTGTCAAATGTCAAAGTGACTGCTCTAAACTAAATGGCTTCTTATCGGAAATTAGCCAATGGTCCAAGGAAAACGGTCTAACCTTAAACCCCTCCAAATGCCAAACAGTTAATTTCACCCTTAGGCATAAATCTGACCTAAACAAACTGGTTAGCACTCACGAGGTGTGCAACATAGATGGCAGTGAAATAGAAACCAAGTCGGAAATTAAATACCTAGGCGTCACTCTATCTTCTGATCTTTCCTGGTCGTCTCATATCTTGACGATTTCCAAGAAAATATACCGTCTTACCTTCTACATCAAGAAGTTAAGACATTCTGGTGTAACCCAACCCTTACTCCTACAATTTGTTAACTCCCGTATTCTGCCTATTATTCTCTATTGCTCCCCCTTAGTCTTTCCTGGGCTATTGAAGAAAGACTATACCTTATTACGTAGGATGTTAAAGGTTGTCAGCAGGGTAAGCAGTTTGCCACTTAGCCAGCTTGTTAATATTCTGGTGGACAGGCATATGGACTCATGTGAAAAATGGGCGAAATCCATTTTATCTGACTCACAACACCCTCTACATTCACAACTCTCCCCATGTATCTCTTCAGGGAAAACAAGAAGCCTATATAGGAAACTATATGCCCGCACTAGTAAGTACAAAAACTCATCCATACCCTACCTAGCCCGTGTTCTGTGCGATAAAGAATGCATCAGGCATGAAACCTTTAACTTATTAAATAGTCAGTAGAACCAATGGATCTCGTCTTTCCAACTCACATCATTTATAGGTACAACGTTTTCTCGCTCTTCATTCTGTATTTATTTTTGTTATGTGCTGTTTTGTTTCTCTCTTCCTTGCAAACTCTACTTAAAACATTCTTGTTCGTTCTTTCACACTCTGTATATCTCGACCATTTTGCTATCGCTTACGCCAGTAAATATGCTAGTAGTATCTACTTTTCTAACACCTTCAAACACTTTAATTTTGGCTTTGCTACCGACATACTAATATGTTGTTGAGATAACTTTAATCTATGTAGAACTTTATTTATTGTTAATGTAAAAAACTGGATGCAATATTGTAGTAAAATGCTGAGAATTCCATTCTGTATCACAAGTACTGATTTGGAATAAAGCTTATGTTATGTTATGTCATACCTTCACTTCATCTGTGTTTCTTTTGCATATGTGCTGCATAAGCGATAGGTTGCTGGTTAGTTCGCTAGTTGCCGAAGGTCTTAGCTTACTTATTCTTTCTGGTCGGCTATCTTGTCTTCAGTATCACTTAGCGAATGTAGCTGTCGATGACAGTCTGCGTGCATCAAGTCTCTGAAACTGATCGAACCACCCACTTGAAATCATGTTTAAAATTTCGGATTTTGTTCGTTTTCCTGAGTGTTGTAAATCTCCAAACAGATTTTAGAGTACTGTGTGCCTATCTTGATTTTCCAACTCTGCTCGACGTAGGCATTCTCATCGTGCCACATGTAGTTGAGAGGATGTTACTTAGGCAAGTGAAAAAGGCTGTTTACTTTAGACTACTGCCTCCGAAGTATACTCGTCTTCTCACTACTCACGACTCATAATTCAGTTCACCACAATCAGAAAGGTCTTCGGTGATAGTGTGCAAACCTTTCCTACCCCTGTCTTCACTTCAAAGGCTTCGGTGAATTTCCTTTGTAACATAACATAACATAAGCTTTATTCCAAATCAGTACTTGTGATACAGAATGGAATTCTCAGCATTTTACTACAATATTGCATCCAGTTTTTTACATTAACAATAAATAAAGTTCTACATAGATTAAAGTTATCTCAACAACATATTAGTATGTCGGTAGCAAAGCCAAAATTAAAGTGTTTGAAGGTGTTAGAAAAGTAGATACTACTAGCATATTTACTGGCGTAAGCGATAGCAAAATGGTCGAGATATACAGAGTGTGAAAGAACGAACAAGAATGTTTTAAGTAGAGTTTGCAAGGAAGAGAGAAACAAAACAGCACATAACAAAAATAAATACAGAATGAAGAGCGAGAAAACGTTGTACCTATAAATGATGTGAGTTGGAAAGACGAGATCCATTGGTTCTACTGACTATTTAATAAGTTAAAGGTTTCATGCCTGATGCATTCTTTATCGCACAGAACACGGGCTAGGTAGGGTATGGATGAGTTTTTGTACTTACTAGTGCGGGCATATAGTTTCCTATATAGGCTTCTTGTTTTCCCTGAAGAGATACATGGGGAGAGTTGTGAATGTAGAGGGTGTTGTGAGTCAGATAAAATGGATTTCGCCCATTTTTCACATGAGTCCATATGCCTGTCCACCAGAATATTAACAAGCTGGCTAAGTGGCAAACTGCTTACCCTGCTGACAACCTTTAACATCCTACGTAATAAGGTATAGTCTTTCTTCAATAGCCCAGGAAAGACTAAGGGGGAGCAATAGAGAATAATAGGCAGAATACGGGAGTTAACAAATTGTAAGAGTAAGGGTTGGGTTACACCAGAATGTCTTAACTTCTTGATGTAGAAGGTAAGACGGTATATTTTCTTGGAAATCGTCAAGATATGAGACGACCAGGAAAGATCAGAAGATAAAGTGACGCCTAGGTATTTAATTTCCGACTTGGTTTCTATTTCACTGCCATCTATGTTGCACACCTCGTGAGTGCTAACCAGTTTGTTTAGGTCAGATTTATGCCTAAGGGTGAAATTAACTGTTTGGCATTTGGAGGGGTTTAAGGTTAGACCGTTTTCCTTGGACCATTGGCTAATTTCCGATAAGAAGCCATTTAGTTTAGAGCAGTCACTTTGACATTTGACAGGTAAAGATACAGTTAGGTCATCAGCATATTTGACAAAGTTAATGTCATTTGAAGACGGTAGGTCATGTAGGAAGAAAGAAAAGAGAAGTGGGGAGAGTACAGCACCTTGGGGGACACCAGCTTCTGTGAGCACAGCAGAGGAGGATTGGCCTTTGTATACGGTGTACTGCATTCTGTTTGAAAAGTAGGAATGCAACCAGTTAGTGACCCAGGACTCGGTTTGTGTCATGGAGAGCTTATTTAGCAAGAGACTTCTAGGTACAGAGTCGAAAGCAGAAGTAAAGTCAAGAAACGTGCAGCGGACATATTTGGCACCTTTGTCTAATGATGAGACAATACTGTTGTGTAAGACGGCTGCAGCGTCTAAAGTGCTCCTACCCTGTCTGTAGGCAAATTGTTTGGGGTCTTCGAAGCTTTTAAGGGAGGGTTCGAGTTTAAGAAGTACTAGTTTTTCCATGAGCTTTAGAAACGGGGAAGTGATGGCGATGGGTCTGAACTTTACGTTCTTGCTATTTCCAGGTTTAGGGACAGGGACTATTTTAATGTCTTTCCATGGAACAGGTACAACGTTTTCGGAGAAAGAAGCATTTAGGATATTAGTTAGAGGAAAACATAAAGCATCTGCACATTGTTTTAGAACATATGCAGGTATGCTATCAGGGCCAAGACTATGTGAGGGCTTAAGAGTTTTAAGACATTTCAAAACATCGAGAGTATTGAAGTCCTGGAAGTTATCAGCTACAAGATTAGTAACGTTAGAAGTGGTTATAGTAGAAGGAGAGCGTAAAAAAGACAGATTAAGAGCATTAACATCACAAGAGGGAAAGACATTACATCGCTTACTTTTGCCAGTAATTTCATTGAAAAGTTTCCACATGCTGTTAGGAGATTTGCATGATAAAAGTGTTTGGTTATAGATAGCATTAAGATTTTTGATTTCAGATTTGATTTGAGCATTAATCTTTTTAAGTCCTAACTTGTCTTTGCATTTATATAACATTTCTTTTTGCCTGCGAAGTTGTTTGAGACGGGGAGACGAGAAACGGTCGAGGCGTTTGAACAGTGTTTGTTTGGGACAGCATATGTCGAGGCAGAACTTAAGATAATCCATTATATTGGTGATTGAGTCATCTAATGTACTTTCATAGAATAGATCCCAGTTGGCATCTTTTAACATGCATCTTAGATTGAGTAAGTTGTCAGATGTGTAGCATCTTTCTTGTGCTTCGTAGACAGGTGTGAGAAGATTTTAATATGTGTTTTGCTGTATATTTTTGGCAAAACGCGGACAATGCAGTGATCGGAGTTATGTATCGGTGAACGTCTACGTGTTTCATATACTCCTTCGTCATTAGTAAAAACGAGTCGAGTGTTTTGTCAAGTCGAGTGGGAAATTTGACTATGTTTGTGTGACCAAGAGCTTCAAGAAAGGAGCAATCCGATGTGTTGAAGTCTCCAGTAATAACGGATAGAGAGTTGTCGAAGTTGGTAGCAGCAAACATGGTGAATTCATCAGCAAAATTAGATAGATCAGATGGAGAGCAACTAGGAGAAATGTACATGTTTGTAATATAGAATTGTTTATATTTGGGGATATGTTTGGGGCGACATTTGACAGTAATACAGTCAATGAAGTCATTTGAGAAGGTGAAGCAGACGTTACTTGAGACAGACCATTTGGAGTGAATAAAAGTTGCAACGCCACCACCACTTTTCTTATTACAACATTGACGGTCTTGACGAAATAAAATAAAGTCCTTTAGTGAGATAAGGTTGTCATCATATAGTTCATGCAACCACGTTTCTTGTAATGCGATTATGGCGGTGTTATGATACGTATCAGTTGACATCAGGGATTGTAGAAGATCTTCAAGTGACATCACACGTCACACTCTAGAATGGGACTCAAATGAGAAGTGCAAGTGGTTGGACTTACGAGATTATGTGAGGAGAAAATGAAAACTTGTGAGCAGTTGTGCAGTCGTTTGAAGGCGATGGCAGTGAACCGACTACCATGGAGACGTGGGGCTGAAACTTCATCATATTATTTGAACTACAACATCTTTTATATTCATAGTGAGTACCACTCAGTTTCCTCAAAAGTAACGTGGCATATGAAATTACAGACGGTATATTTACAGCTTTATCATGAAACAAAATATGCAGCATATCCTTCTGGAAACGACAGGTATCATGTATGCCCACGCAAGCATGCCAGAGGACTCAATAACATAATAAACAATGATATAAAGTAGATGCCACACTTACGGATACAAGCTTATAGACGCCTTCTGGTGTTCGAAGCTCAAATTCAGAACTGAAGACAGAAAAACAAACATTTATTGAAACAATTTGATAAAAATGATGCCAGAATACAATTTAGATAACAGAATGTCAATTGAAAGAGACAGATTATTTTTGAATCTTGAATAAAATGAATTAATTCACGACTTAAAGAGTTACAGACAGCAAGTACAAATAATACGATCATATTTATCTGAGAGAAATTACTAATGTAAGAAGTGACTGAGTCTAGGTTAAGGATATTTTCACGATTCTAAAGATATCAATGGATATATATATATATATGTTTATATGTCTGTGATCGATTCCCAAGAATATCACAAGCAATCTCGAAAACAATTGACTCCCAACATCTCTAGGACCACAAACCAGGCAATTTACACTGCTGAACTCCGTTCACAACTCAAATATTGGTGACTTTATAAGTTAGTCAACACTTTAGTTTTGGCTTGTTACAAATTAAATCTCATTCTCGCTAGTAGTGTTCGTCTGGGAGTGTTAATAGATGTCCCAGTCCTCTCAACTAATGAACGTCTCAAATCCCGATAGATAGGCGAATTTCCCAAGTTATTTATCATCTCTAGGGTCTTATATTTTGAACATTACTCAACCAGTGACCTTATAGTAAGCGAGCAGCGCTTACGAAAAGCTGGTAACTTCATGACTTCCAAATTACTGAGACGCGTACTAGAAAATATCTAAATTTTTGCCTAGAGTGTGCAGAATGGACACAACAAATGAATGATTTTTAAATATATTAAACTGTTTATTATTCATATAAGAGAAACCAGTATTGCCAGATAACTCTGATTTGAACTCATGTCGAAGACGGGGTGGGTGTGTTCACACGCCACAGCTGAAAAGCACATAATTTTTGCTCTTCACTTCAAGATGACTTTTTTAAAAACTAACTATACAAGAGTCATATATTCAAAGTGCTTTTTCTTTCTTTTCATTTCAAGCACTGATGTGAAGAGCGTTTTCTGTGTGTCATCCCATTAACCTGGTCCCACAGTGAATTCTTATGCATATTGCTTAGAAAAAGATTGGTAACTGTGTTTCTATCTCAGTGTCTCTTACAAACTCTTTTTCTTGCAAGCGTCACTAGAGTACAGAGATTGACTGATTATTGCACTAGAGTGCAACAGTTCAAGTTACCACACACCTCATGTAGCACACAGGTGTGAACAAAGGAAAAGAAAAATGAGGTTCAGGAAAAACAAGCAGAAATGTCAAAGAGAGACAGAGAGAGAGAGAGAAAGAATAGTAACATGGAAAAATATGATCGTCTAGTGGACGTGGAGGGGGGGGTCACAAAGTGTAAATTCATCTGAGTCATTGACAACGATTTTGAGCCGTATCACCAATAGTCCCGAATTATTGGTTCTTAGCATCTCCAGTAACTAAACCTGGCAGTCTACACCTCCCTAAGGAGATCAAACCAGCTGTCAAATATTTCATGGATTGGTTCCAGGTTTTGGTTTGATCACCTGTAACCCTTTTCCAATCCAGTCTTATGTCGTCGAGGGAGGCGATGGCTCAACATGCTTAAAACGTGTCCTAGTTATGTCAATAGATTTACCTCCCCAACCTATTCGATTAACTTTCCCTCTTTACTATGCACTCTATGTCTAGTCTCAATATTATTCACCATATTATACCGCTCAACATAGGAGATAGAGTGTAAACCACTTGTGGTCAAATAAAGCTAACCTGTTCATATTTTCCTCTTTCAGCAACCGTGTCTCCCACTCATAAGGGAGGAGAAAGCGGACTGCTGAGTAGCCGGATAACACGTCTACGCCAAAAATGGTGTAAGTCGGCAAATCCCACACGAGACTTCTGTATCCGTGCTGAGATTTCTTCAGCAATCAGTTCGTTGGGGTTGATGCAACTTCCTAAATAAGTGAAGTAGTCAACACGCTCTACCACTTCTTGACTCCTACCTACCTAGGATTCGATGCAGTCCAGTCATGCAGCATCATCTCACATTTGACAGGACTGAACTGCATGCCAAACATTCGGAGATCGCTACTCAAGGTGTTCAGAAGAGTCTACATTTTATCAATGTATTCACCTAGAAGGACAATATCATCCACATACTCTATGTCGATAAGACTGTCCCTTGGTAACGAGTGAATCCCTAAGTCGCTTGAGTCAGTTACGGCCAATCCCACTAGTGTATCCATAATGAAATTAAACAAAAATGGGGATAATAAACATCCCTGACATGCACCGCTGGTTATCATCACTTTGATATGTACCCACATGATGTGTGTGTGTGTTTTGTTTTTGACAGTCTCTATTATATTTTGCTATGTGTATATGGCTCGATATTTCATTATAACTGACATTATGCTTTTGTCTGTCCACTAACTAAATAAACAATCTATGACCTTGTTATCACATGACATTACAACCAATCATGGTAAGATGTTATCTTATCGGTTTATGTGTATTAGCCATTTCCATATACACTCTTGCTTTACAATTCTGGTTCTCACGTTTTCGTACATCTAAGTACCCTTCCACTCACACAGTAGTGTGACATTTATTTTCCTTGTCTGGAAAATACAAGTATCATCGTAAACCTGGTGGTCGTCTTCTGATTTCCCTCTTTCCGTGTCAGGACTATTAACTACTCGACGAGTACATAACATAATTGGCGACGGGAAAACTCGAATAACTCACTCAGCAGCAGTACATAACACACTTAAGATAACATCTCTCCATAAACTTTTAGTAGAATATAGAAAACTTGTATAGTAAACAGTAAGAATTAATACAGCACACTGACCAATAGCAGAAGTATATGGACAAAATTGAGACGGATAATACAAAAATAAAAACACTTGAACTTCACTACATTAACTTTAGAGGATGAGTTTCGAATGAGGAGCATATTCTTAGGTACTTTTTTAGTACTTATAATGTAATAAACTTACTCACTTAGTTTTTCATCCATTTCAATCCAAATCAATTCAATTGGCCAAAAACGGAAGGAGAATTGTGACGTTAAACGAATAAATAAGCCATCGTTGAATAAAATCACATGTGGTGGTTTCGCTGCCGACTGTAAACACTTCAATGAGAAAGTTTTCTCATAATCACTGAACTGGCTTAAGTTGAATATACTGTCAAAATCTTTTGTCGTTGACAGTGAATTCGATGTTAGAGAAGTGAGTGGAGAAGGTAAAGAGGTAGTCTCAGTTGTTGTTCCTGTTTCTGTCAGGCCGTCGTCGCCAAACTTTTTATCCTGAGTATTATCATGATCAGCGTACAAGTGATTGATTTCCATTGGAATTTCAGAATATATGAAAGGATGTAATACATTTGTGGTATTGTTATTACTTTTTTTGCTGGTTTGATTAGAAGTAACATTTTTAACAGTGATTGAATGAACACGACTATCAAGAAGTACATATCGATTTGGACGAAATAATTGTACCTGGTTGTTGTTGTTTTGTTTTTTCAAGAGAAGTTGAATAGAGGAAACGTGGAATAGAAGAATTAGGCAAAATCGAATCATAATCATCATATGCGTGTGTTGATACGTACAATAAATGAGACAAAAGTATTATCTTAAGTCTTCTGAACACCTTGAGCAGCAATCTTCGTATGTTTGGCATGTGATTCGCCCCTGTAAAATGTAAGATGCTGCTACAGGACTGGACTACGTCAACTCCTAGCTTAGTGATAGGGAGTGAAGTGATAGAACATGTTGACCACTTCACCTATTTGGGAAGTTGTATCAGCACCAACGAACTTATTGGCGACGAAATCTCAGCACGGATCCGAAAAGCTCGAGCTGCTTTCGCTGACTTACGCCGTCTCTGGCGTAGGCGTGACATCCGGTTACCAACCAAGGGACGTGTGTACTGCTCATCAGTTCGCTCCGTCCTTCTCTATGGCTCTGAAACATGGCCAATATGAGTTGAAGACATGAAAAGGTTGACTGCTTTCCATCATAGATGTCTGCGATCTGTCTCACGTTAGGTGGTTTAATAAGGTAAGTAATGTTGACGTTAGGCGTAGTGTTGGGCAAAGAGGGAAAATCAATCGACGAGGCTATAAAGTTACATAGATTGAGATGACTAGGTCAGGTGGTGCGTATGCCTAACCATCGCCTCCCCCGACGGGCATTACTAGCTGATATAGGTGCAGGTTGGAAAAGAGTAAGTGGTGGCCAAACAAAAACATGGCCGCATCAATCCATGAAATTCTTGACAGTTAAACTGAGTCAGCAGGTAGAGAGATGCAGACTTCCGGGTTGGGGCCCTCGGGACTCTAGGAATCAATGGATGGAGACAATAGATGACATGGCTCAAAATCGTTGTCAATGGCCAGGGCAGATGTATTCAGTCTCTGTAATCTTTCATATTTCTTTCTACCATTACGCTTTATGTTTCTCTCTTATACCTGTCAAACTCTATTGATTCTCTTCGCTCATCTTCTTCTCTACCTCTGTGTGCTATTTGGAATGTGGCAACTCGAACTGGTGCACTTCGGTGCCAAGTTCTATGTTGAATCCAGACAGACTTAAGTCCTTAATATGCTAACTAGTCAACTAGTGGATTTCATTGTCGATTCCTGATTTTTCTAACAAAAAACCACTACAACACATGAAAGCGAGAGTGAATTGTCAAAAAATGTAAGTGGTGATAGGAAGCGGTGATTGCATCTGCCCACACCACCTTAATTAGTCGCTACTGTTACACTTCACCAGTCTCAGGAATACCATTCCTAATTTGCCATAATATCTAAAAAAAAATCATTGTCAAACTCACTTAATTTTCATCTGAATGTTGTCTTCCCTTGGAGAATCGCACGTTATACCATGTGATTTTACTTCCTTTTTTAGTGTGAAGTTCTTAAGTGTGCTATGATGTTGCCTTTGGAAAATCAACTTTAGCAAATTTAGGAGATGTGACGACTCTACTGATACTTTAGGATATAAGTATTAGCAACAGCAGAAAAGACCGATTATATAAGTATTTGTGTGAGGATTGGTTAAGATCCGACGAATGACACTGCCTAACTTATTCTATAAAAAACAGCATCGAACACCCAGCAGAGTTCACATTACTGCAGTTGATTTGGCAGTTTATCGGTAAAACTGCAGATTTATATTACTTCAGGTTTTCGTGTCTGTGAAACACAACCTTTAATTTATTATTATTATTATATCCTTTAATTCTTAGAGGAACATAGAGTTTCAGCTGCGCATCTCCATTGCCTTCTGTTTTCTGCCAACTTTTTCACCCCGCTCCAAGTCTGCCCACATGCTTTCATCTCCTCCTCACATCACCTCCTCCAAGTCACCCTCACGCTGACGACCAACTCGCCACCCGCTTCCCTTTCGGCCGGGTTCCACTTGAGCGATGGTTTGTCTAGTGATGTCACTTGATGGTTTCCTCAGAGTATGGCCAATCCACTTAAACCCGTTTCTTCCTACCTATTTGTTGCACAATCGGTTCCTGCTGAGTTGGTTCGCTCATTGCCAGAGATCCCTGTTGCTAATCTTTTCTGGCCGGCCATCTGATCTTGAGTATTGAGCGAAGACAACTGTTGATGAAAGTCTGTAGTTTGTTTGATGTGCTCTTTATGATGCACTAGCCAAGTCTCTGATCCGTATAGTGAGTAGCACTGACTGACTTCACATTGGAGTTGAAAATCCGGATCTTATTTTCATTTTCATGCTGAGTGCTGTTGACCTCCACATAGACTTGAGAGTAATGAAAGGTTGTTTCGCTTTTCCGATTCTGGCTTTGATATCTTCATCAGTTCCGTCCACCAGTAGTTGAGACGATGTTTCCCAGGTAGGTAAAGGAGGTTGTTTCATTCAGGTTCCTCCCATATATACTGGCTGATTGCTGTCCGTTGTTGTTGCTGCTGCTGGTCTTGGCCAGGAATCTTCATCACCTACCTCCGTTTTATCTATGTTCACCTCAAGGAAGTCCTATCTTCTCTGGATGCTTCTTTTGCCAACTTGTTGCTTTTCACTTGCATATCTTCCAGTTTATGGGAAATCAGACATATATCATCGTCGAAGTCCAGATCCTCCAAGTTCCTTTTTGTGTGAGTCCATCTTATGTCTGTTTCCTCATTGCCCGTTGTCTGTCGCATTATCCAATCTACTGCAACCAGGAAAATCATTGGAGATAGTAGGCAGCCAGCCAGCTTGTCTTACTCTCGTCTTCACTTCTTCGATGGATTCCACAAGTTTCCCGTTGTGGATTACTTGGCATGCAGCATTGTCCTACAACTACTGGATGAGATGTATAATTGTCGATGGGACCCCACAGTAGTAGCGAAGTAGTTGCCAAATCACCTCTCGATCGACGCTGAGCTGTCGAAGGCCTTTTCAAAGTCGATGAAGTTGAGATAGAGGGGTGACTACCATTCCAAGCTTTGTTCGATGATGATCCGTAGAGTGGCGATTTGATCAATACATGACTTGTTTCTCCTGAATCCAGCTTGTTCCGGTCAAAGTTTTTCACCCAGGTTGGCGTGTTTGATTCTCCCCAGGATGATGCGGCTTAGTATTTTGCTTGGGATGGACAGGAACATGATTCCGCGCCAGTTCTTGCATTGACTTAAGTCTCTTTTCTTTGGTAGTTTGAATAAGTATCCTTTCTTCCAATCCTCGAGTACTTTGCCCTTTTTCCACACCTTCTCAGTAATGGCGTCATCAAGTCCGCCGTTGTCTCTGGGTCCATTTTCAATGCTTCTGCTGGGATTCCATCTGGTCCTACTGCTTTTCCAGCTCTTAGCATCTTGATGGCATTCAGGACTTCTGATTTCGTCGGAGGGTCGATGTTCACTGGTAGTCCTGCTTCCGTCGTTGGTATTGTTGGGCGCGTTGTAGCTGGCGGTCTATTTAGAAGTCTTTCGAAGTGTTCAGCCCAATGTTTTCTTTGCTCCACTTCTTTGGTGATTGACTTTCCATTGTCATACCTTACTGGCTTAATCTGTGTCGAACTTTTACCCGATAGGTGCCTATTTGTTTGGTAGAGTGTGGCGAGGTCTCCTTTGCCTGCAGCTTGTTCTGCTTCACTTACCATGGCTTCATAATATTTTCTTTTGTCTTTCCTGGCACTATTCTTTACTCTTTTGTTCAGCGTATTGTAGCTTGCATTCAAGTCCTGTTTTTGTTGCTCGTCGGTGCACTGGATAATCTTTTGCTTCACTGTCCTTCTCTCTTCTATTAGTTTCCAAGTGTCCGTAGTGAGCCACTGTTTGTCCTGTCTCTTCTTTCTGCCTAGAACTTCCATGCAGGTTTGACTCCACACCGTTTTCAAGTTGTCCCAGTGCTTTTCGACGCCGACCTTTTCGCTAGTGTTGATTTGTGTCTCGGCTTTGTCCTTTATGCTTGCAGTGAAGATGTCCTTTGTATCCTGGTTCCTCAGTTTTTCAGTGTTGAACCTGGCTTGTGGTCTATCTACAGCTCCTGTTTCCCTGAAAGCCTTTAATTTGATTTGGAGTGTTCCATGTACGAGATAGGGGTTTGAGGCGACGTCTGCTCCTCTTCTTGCTTTTGCATCCAGTAAGCTGCGTCTCCACTTCCTTGAGCAGTATTGAGATGAAGTCAATTTGGTTTTTGGTTCGCCCATTTAGTGACACCCATGTAGCCTTGTGGATACCTTTGTGTTTGTATACTCTGCCACCAATCACTAGTTCATTGAAGGCGCAGAAGTCGGCGAAGAGTTCTCCATTTTCACTCATTTCTCCGAGAGCCTCTCTACCCATGATGAGTTCCCTTCCTGTGTTGTCTGGTCCCAGTTTGGCGTTCATGTCTCCCATTAGTATTTTAGTGTCGTCAGCTGGAGTGTCATCCATTGTTGCCTGTAGTTGTCTGTAGAATTCTTGTTTCTTTTCGAGGTCTGCGTTGTGTGTGGGTGCATAGCATTGTATAATTGACACTTTCCTTCCTTCGGAGTTGAATCTGGCGGTTATTATCCTGGACGAGATCACCTCCCATTGCATCAGGGCCTTTGTTGCCGTTGGTGACATCAGGATAGCCAGACCCCTCCCCGCTTTTACGAGATGAAAATTTCCTATGGCTTTACATGCTTCGTCATCACTATCTTCGCAGAACTGTATGCACTCGGTGAAGAAATCATGTGAATAACTTCAATGTCTACAGGTGTACATTCCGACACAATGTACGTAACAAGAAACTCCATCAGAGTTTCGTTTACTGAGTTACAGACTGCAAGTGACGTATCTCAAATTTCAAATTGTTGTCCTTGTTGCTGGTTGAATGAAGTAAACTACTGATCACTTCATTTTGGATAAAAATTCAACTGTATTACCATTTGGCGTCCCACAGTGATGCGACTCAGTGACTATAGGCACCACCAAATATGGTTAATAATCAACCGTTATGATGATCGTGGTATGCAGTTTTATGGCTACTGACAGTAGGTAACGAAAGTGTGTGTCAAGCTGTGACACTGTCACGACACACCTATCTTCACTGTATAACATCAAATAAACAAGCTAATATGACAGTGACGAGGGTTGTTTGAATGTTTTATGAGTTTGAATATATTCACCCACACTCACTGTGCAGCTGTCTCCCATCTATTGACTTCACTTATTTGGTAACATTTGTCTGTCTGTTTTCGACATAGAACTTTGCACAAATGTGCCACACTCCCTCCATGTAGCACACAAAGCAAGGGAAGAAAGTAGAAGAAATGCATAATAGAGACAGTAAACAGAGGTGTGAGACAAAGGAAGAGTAATAACGAAGAACAAAACACTTTCATTGGAAATCACAAGTCACAAGGAGTGGATGCATCTGCGCTAGCCATTGAGAACAATTTTGAGCCATGTCACCAATTGTTTCCAACCACTGGTTTTTACCGTCCCGAGGACCCCAACCAGGAAGTCTACACCTTCCTACGTGGCTTAGACTAACTGTTATAGATTTCATTGACTGGTGCCATGTTTTGGTTTGACCGCCGCTAGCTCTTTTCCAGCATGACCCTATATCAGCTAACATTGCCCTGCTCGTCGAGGAAGGCGATGACTTGGCATACATAAAACATGTCCTAACCATCTCAGTCAATGTAATTTCACTGTCTCGTCGATTGATTTCCCCTCCTTACCTTACCTAGCACTCGACCGACGCCTAACTTTAATATTGCTCACCTTATTATACCACTTCACACGTGAAATAGAGTGCAGGCACCTATGATCAAAGACAGCTAGCCAGCCTTTTCATGTCTTTCACTCTCAATGGCCAGGTCTCACAGCCGGCCGTAAAGGAGGATGGAGCGGATTCATGAGCAGTACACTCGCCCTTTGGTCGATAGTCGGATATCTCGTCTATGCCAGAGACGGCGTAAACTGGCAAATGCGAAACTAGCCCTCTGTATCCGTACTCAGCTGAGATTTCGTCAGAGATCAACCCGCTGGCACTGGTTGATGGTACTTCCCAAATAAGTGAGGCGGTCAACGTGCTCTACCACTTCACTCCCTATTTCTAATCTAGGAGTCGGTGTAGTCCAATCCTGTAACATCATCTTGCCCTTGGTAACATTTAGTAACATCTAAAAAGCCGGAATTTAGAAAGTATCATTTTTCGCGGTATTATTGTCGCGATATTATTATACAAATGATGTGTTTCTTGGCTCATATTGTACTTTAGAAAAATAAGACCACCTATACAATATATGTCCAATGTACTTAATAAAAAAATAATAAACACCGGTAAATCACATGATTGAAGTGCAGCATTTCATCTTGTACACAGCTAATAAGATAACCAAAAAACGGTCCGTTTAAACCATCTGTAAAATTGATGGCCACGATATAAACATTATACATAGCTGGACAACTCTATGTGACTAACAATAAACGCATACCTTCATTTGTCTTTATTCAGCCTTCCTGAAGAAAACAACAATTACTATTGATCTTGTATGTTACAAAAATTCAAAGTCGTTAAATGAAGACAGTGGGGACACCAATTCAGATTTACTTATAATGACCAGAACAACATCAAATACTGGGTGATTTCATAGCAAACTCTCTCAGGCCCAGTCGGGCAGTTCTAAAACAAAAACTGTACCCCAACCGTTTGCATATGCATGTCTTTCCTTGAACTACAGGAACAAACTTAATGCACAACACATTTAAACATTTATCTATATACACATAAGAAGTAAGCGTTTAGAGGAGATAAAAACTGAGTAGATCAATCCATGATAATTATTACAGTAAATTTGGTGGAAAAAATTAATAATCACTGATTATTCATTATTATTATTATTATTGTCTCCTTCAGTTCCTAGTGGAACATAGGGCTTCATCCTCACGTATCCAATGCGTTCGGTTCTCTGCCAATGTTTTCACCTGGCTCCACATCTTCCCGCATGCTTTCATCTTCTCTTCACATCACCTCCTCCACGTTGTCACCTTCACAATGACGACGACCAACTCGCCGCTTCCCAATTCGGGTTCCGCTCGACCAATGGTCTGGTGTGTGATGTCACTAGTCACTTGATGGTTTGTTTTCTCAGAGTACGCCCAATCCACCTCCATTTCTTCCTGCATATTTGTTGCACAATTGCTTCCTGGTTGGTTCTTTCCCAGAGATCCCTGTTGTTGATCTTTCCTGGTCATCTGATTGGGCGAAGACAGTTGTTAATGACGGTCTGTAGTTTGTTCGAAGTGCCCTTCGTGACGCGCCATTGATAGAGTTAATTAATCTCCAGGCAGACTTCACAGAATCTTTTGTTTCCACTAATATCCCTTTTTACAATCGTGAAACACTTAATGAACACTTGAAAGACTCGATTATCGCTCAAAATCAACTTTACACTGTTCTGCGTAAAAGAGATGCAACAGCTAGGCAGAAGGAGATTATTGAAAAAAAAATGTTTACCTTAAAATTTAAGAGGACTGTGATATTATTGTCATATTATTTTACTGATATATATATAGTCACTTTGGTTGCTCAAATCGATTGACTGCTGTCCTTCAAACAGATGCTTAGCAAACAATAATTGGTATACGTCTATTTCTGAAACTCTCGGTTGGTGTTTAAGAATACGATTCACTTCGCTTATTCTACGAAAAGGTTAAACAAGGGTGATATATTACTTCTTAAATAATTTTTTGGCTGTTAACCCTTCTTGTGTTTTAATCCCACTTCACCATGAGTAAGTGGAACCGCGTTTCTTTCAAACAACGGCTAAAAGCTTGTACCTGGTGATCGCATTTAGTGATAACAGCTCCATCAACGAACATAACAACACGAGCGTAATTACTTAGTTACTGAGGTTGAGTTTTGAAATCGGTGAGTTGGAAAAAAACCTTCTGCTGTAAGAAGGGGTTTAGAACTCTTAAGGTACCTCTTAGCAGCTTTCATTTTTGATAAAGCCTATAAACGACGATGTTCAGACCTGAATGTTTTACTTTTAGTAGTAGACCGGACAATTTTGCGCAAACACCATAAAAAGATAACTCCATTATGGATAAAATTTTATTTTGATAATATCACAGTGTTATACAGTAATAATATTTACTGATTACCACGCTTCGAGCACAGTTTATTGTTCTTAATCATATCAAGGTACTCACGCTACTTTCTTACTTCATTTATATACACACATAAAGTCACTAGTAAAGGGATTAAAATTCACATTTGAATCGGAAAATGAACAAGGAGAATTAGTTATGTTAGATTGTAAAATAAAACGAATAGAAGAAGGTAAACTACACACTAGTGCGTACAGAAAACCAACTCATTCTAATAGATACTTAGACTTTAATTCATCCCATCCGTTAACTTTTAAGGCAGGCTTATTTAAGTGTCTAACAAACCGAGCAACAGCACTAAACAGTACAAGAAAAGACCTAAATGATTACATAAAACAGATAGAAGCGTTGGTGTTAAATAACTAAATATCCTCTAAAATTCATTAGGAAGATCAAAAAAGGTCAAAAGCAAAATAAAAATTTTGGTGAAACTAATAATAGTAACGTAAATAAGAAATATAAGGCATCTACAATTTTACCAGATAAGGAGGGGACATATGAGGCCTTACATAGGATTCTCAATAAAGCAGGAATAAGGGTGGCATTCAAACCTGCGAACTCATTCAGACACAAGCTCTGTGATATGTACCCACATGATGTGTGTGTGTTTTGTTTTTGACAGTCTATTATATTTTGCTATGTGTATATGGCTCGATATTTCATTATAACTGACATTATGCTTTTGTCTGTCCACTAACTAAATAAACAATCTATGACCTTGTTATCACATGACATTACAACCAATCATGGTAAGATGTTATCTTATCGGTTTATGTGTATTAGCCATTTCCATATACACTCTTGCTTTACAATTCTGGTTCTCACGTTTTCGTACATCTAAGTACCCTTCCACTCACACAGTAGTGTGACATTTATTTTCCTTGTCTGGAAAATACAAGTATCATCGTAAACCTGGTGGTCGTCTTCTGATTTCCCTCTTTCCGTGTCAGGACTATTAACTACTTGACGAGTACATGACATCATTGGCGACGGGGAAAACTCGAATAACTCACTCAGCAGCAGTACATAACACTCTGTCAGCTAAAGGACTCGGTGGACCCAATTAAGCAATTCAGATTCAAGAAAACCAAATATGCTATTCTACAAACATTAATCTCTAAACGACAATTAAAGAGCATGAGTTTGAAAGTAATTCAGCTTTGCTAGCAGAAGACGAACTTAATTTTTGAAGTAGAACTTTACACAAAAGTGTCATACTTTGTAAAGTATACAATAAAGTCAGAGGGGAAAAAACTATAGTAAACGGAAATTTATCGAAGAAAAAAAACTACGTAAATGCATAATAATGAGAACAAAACAGATCTAGATCACAAAGAGTGAATGCAACTGTGCCATTGAAAATGATTTTGAGTTACCACCTTATCAAAATGAAGTGAACTCACTTTAATTTCTGTAGGTAATGTTCTCCAAACACTAGTTGTTAAAAGATCCTGATCTTGTGTACGTTGCTGGTGCATTATTATCTTTTTTTCTAATCACTGTAAAAAGTACATTTGGTCTTCTTTAAATGCCAGTTTTCTATCTTCATACAGAAAAAGAAAAAAAGAAACGTACAAAGGATCTATAAATATTTATCATTTTACTGAGAAATATTCTCAGTTAAATTGAATCATGCATACTTTAATGACACAAATAATAACTAGTTAAAAATAAGTGATATGACCAGTAGGAGTACTCTACTGCTACATATCTTAAAAGCTTACACCCCTGTTTATCTTTGTGTGAATCCCCTTTACATTGCTTAACATTATGAACTCCTTACCTGACTGTCTCAAGATGTGAACAAATAAATCATACGTAAACAACCTCATGAGAATACAGGATTACGTTTGCAGGGAAAATCGGTGACTACTTTCACCACAAATAACGTCTCACAATGTTCACTTTAGCATTTCATTGTAAGCCAGTGGCAAAAGAAACGCTAAGTTGGTGAAATCTATTCCACCGCCGATTTCACGTGAAGCCAACATAATTTCGACAGTTTTAAGGCATAAATATGTCATTTCCAGGCTAATCTGAATAATATCTTTCTGAGTTTAGTGAATCAAAATTTCTGCAAAGTAATCATCAGTGAGAAACAATGTTATGTTATAAGGAGAGCTTTGAAATACTTATGTTTCCGTATAATACGATTTAAATAGAAAAAAAATAAACATGCGATTGTAGCGCCTACATTTCATTCTTATATCGACAAAAAAGACGTATTCCTTATAGCTTTTCATCTCGTGCACTGGAGTGACTAGTCATTTGCTGGACTACATGCAATTTGATAATAATATGTGATCTAGTTGCTTTTTTATTTGATGCTGATAGCAGACGTGATATTACTCTGGGTACAGTGGATTCGAATTTCAGTGGAAACAGGAACATGCTGGGGTGCAAGTATATCCAGTTGACCAACCGCAAATAAGGCGATATACGCATACTTTTAATCACTGTTCAGTAAAATATAGCCCCTTTTCAGTCGTTAGATCACAAAAATCAAATTTAAACTTGTAATTATCACCGGAAATTAAATTATAAATTTGTCTGACAAGTCAAAACTACTCGTATATATATATATATATATATATATATATATATATATATATAGATTTACTTTTTCGTGACAACTTTCAGATCCTGGGCATCCACAATAATACTTATTCATGTATTCTTTATCTCAAATCCATTTTGTCCTATATGATATTACATTACCGTCACCCTATTTCAATTATGCTTCTAAAACTGTGACAACTTCGAATGATTCATTTTGATGCAAAGCCGCAGGCTGAAGCATCGATTAGTCATCCAGTTACGAAAGAAATATGCCTCTAAAACTCCTTATGTGTATGCATGATGAGAGTAAATTATCTTTACTAAATAACTTTGATAAAGTCCATCGATGGTAACTATGAGTAGACATCAGTGACTTCAGTGGTTGATAACACATCACAGCTACATTACCCATGAAAATAGTTATTGCTATGTTGAATTATGATGGGATTATTTGAGTTGAGGCAAAACTATTTATATTTCCAAGTGAAGTGCCGTTCGACCCTATGAAACTAGTACATATATTCTTTGTAGAAGATATTCTATTCAATGTAACACACTGACCTTTCATTTATTCGACTTCACTAATTATAAGTACCACAATGAGAAATAATTATACACAAGACACAGAAAGTCTTGGATTCTTTAGAGGGACTGAATTAGTTACTAATACCTATGTCATTCGGATAAGTAATTTTTCCGAGTTGTAATAAACTAATTTTTGAAGTGTCACCGATTTGGTCTGAAGTCGACAAAAGCAATACAGGCATATTCAATCCGTTTGATACTCTAATGTCCTTATCCATTTTCATTTTTACTTCCGTCCTCCTACTATTTACTTAGAAGTCACACCGTTTCCGTTCGTTGGTTTTTCCTTGTGACAATGTGTAGTCTACGAAATTTGAACTCGACTTTTCCTGGAGTTTATATTTCGCAATTTATTAGGACACTATATACCATAAATCATAACAAAGAAATACGTATTTAGTTAACCAAGTTAACAATCACGAACATTAATTATTTTAATGTGATATATATTTAATGTAACGCTGGGTGTGCATTTTCTTCCATATTCTTACGAGCTATAGCATTTTAATGCTCTTTGAAGAGTAAGTGGTAACAGCTTATCATTAGATAGTAAAACGGAAACATCTCAAAAAATTTTTTGAATATAACTAGAGTTATTTATCTACATTTACTTTGTAAGCAGTTATCATTGAGAGAACCGTTGAAAATGAGTAAGTAGTGGACAGTCTTCAAGTTGCAGCTGCAACCAATAACTTCATTTTATCATTTTTGCCGTCTTCCTTATCAATACACTGCTCGTTATTTTTGAATTCTGATGTCAGTTTCGAACTACCACTATGATAAATCAATAATACATTAGCGCAGACTACACACTAGAGCTTGAAGTACTCCACGCAATCAAAACAAAAGTTTCGACTGTTTATGAAATTTGACAATAACACGACTACAGAAAAAAATGAGTTAGACAGAAATCGCCCATTTCCACTACAGGTTAGGAACTGCTTTGTGGAAGACATTGAAGTGATAAAAATACACAGTACCCTTTTTTAGAAAAAGGGAAATTTTGATGTACCTAAAAGTGGTGTGTAACTGGAGATGAAAACACTTCATTTATAAGAGTCGATATGTCTAATCCGTTTTGAAACGTGAATATACAGAATTGGTAGCTTAACGTGATGCACAGTGGGACGATGAAAGACGATTTTTAGCAAATAAAATGGATTAACTACCAATGTACGCACCAACTGAAGAAATCATATACATTACATGTGAATGTGACAAAAATCACGTTTTCTTAAGGAACTTTGTCAGTAACATTAAATGTGTCAGAATGAGCCAGTTGATAATACAACCGAGTCGCGAAATCAAATGAAAGATCCAAAGACTAGTGGCAATTGCTGAAGTCAGTGAACTTGTACCATCCATAAGGCCTAAATGGTTGGTACTCAACAGTAAATTTTCTTCGAAATGATATTGACCACTTCATTTTAAGAAAAAGGTTGCCACTATCTACCAAACAGTTTAATTAACAGATAACCAGGAGAATAAGCTTTCATTAAGGCCAACAATTTATGAATGAGTCACAAGCACCGCAATCAAAAAGCTACTTTGAGAAAATCTAAAAGAAACTAACACAACCACAATGAGTAACACAGTAACTGCGCAATACTTTCATATCACATACCAGAAATCTATTAAAAGATTTCATTTGAATTATACGTCTACAAATGCATGTATAAATATACCATTACATTGACCGTTGAAACTATTCATCAATTTCGCATAATTCTACGTAAGCGATAAAAATGAAGCCCATACCAAAAGAATCTCATATCAAAATACCTTGTCAAGCGTGGTCAAAAACAGCTGATACAACGACCCACTAAAGCACTGCTGTGATAGAGGATAGCGGCACAAATGGCTTACGGAGAGGCTGAGCACTTGAAGGTCACTTACGCACACTGTGATTGGTAGATTTTCCTTTGCGTAAACGTTGCGGCTAATACGTGCCTTACGTTACTGAGGCGGGCTTTGAAATAGCAATAATAAAAGCGGATAGACATTATATTTTTTAGCTTAAGGGAGCAAGTTAACATGCTTATAAATTTCACGGATGTGAGAAGCATTAGATCCACTAACAAGGAGAATACTACTGGGTAACTTAATCAAAGAAGTACAAAGTTTGAAGATTTTATCTCTTTTAGTTAGTTGTAACGGATGGATAAGAGTCACTTGTATAATATTTGCTTTTTATAGAAGAGAAAGTGTCACAGGTGATTTGGAAGTTACACGATTCCTGAAATCTACCGTGGAATATATGGACGACTAATATATAGAATTTCACCGACTCTGTGGTTGTTCCTTGCCTTGTTCACATATTCACTGTGGCTAAGATTAGGAATTGTTCACTAAAGGTAAGAATAATTTACCTGATATGTATACATCTTCAGATATTTCTCAATACGGCCGAAGGCATTCGAAGGAAGACAATCTCAATCTCTGCTTGGAAAGTTCACATCCAGTTTCTGCGAACGGAACTGGTGGTGACGAAAACTGCAAAGACTGGCTCAACACCACTAACAACGGAGGCAAACTGACACAGATGTTGCGGATAGAGTGTTTGGTGGGCTTTATGTTGACTATGATGCAGCTATAAAAAACTCTACAACTGCGATTTTTTCACTGGATTGTTATTAACTCTTTTTATTGAATATATGTACTCTTTTATTCTGAGTCATTTTCAACTTGATTGATTATTGTTTCCTTACAAATATATGCATTTATGTCGACTAACTTTGTCTCTTTTACTTATCATTTTGAGGACATTGCAGAGTTAACGAGAATGATAGGCAACGTATTAATACTTATGTGAAATGCGTCAGTCTTAAACTATCATTACTTCCTCAATGCGTCATCAAGCCTTGTGTAAAGTGTTTCAGTTGCGTTTCAGATTAATATTCAAGATTGTTAAGAAAGTAGTCGTTAAACATGTGCTCGTAGTGTAGTAACGAAACATAACCTAGCAAACGTAGGTTCTATGTGCACACGACTTGTATTAGTAGTCTAGGCACTTCAAGTACACAATGCAACGTATATCCCATTTATCACAAATACTCTGTTATTATTATGTTGCGTTTAACACCACTATCTCAAAGGGTATCATTAGGTAATAAAGAGAAAACTACATTACTCTTCTTGTGTTATCATTTCGTATCAGAAGGCTCTTACATGATCACACCAACACTTAGACTCGTGCATTAATGCAACTAATTAGTTGACTACGTCACTAAACTTTGTTGATTATTTTGCTATCATGAAATACTGTGACGCATTAAATAGGCCTTTGTTGTGCATATCGCCTGTTTAAGATTTACTAGCGAAAGCAATTACTCAA